TTATTTAAGTCTGAAATACACAACATCACAATGCTTCCCCAACACCTTGTCACTAATTCACGGTGATCTTCTCTATTGAATATATATTTGTTGTTACGGTAGTGACACAATAACGATAGTAACATTTTTAATAATAGACAGTTTTATATGTTTACTTTAACAGCTGATTTCATTAAATTTGTTAGTCAGATATTTCAGAATTTTTGAAGAATATGCAATAGGCAAAAGATTTACTTAGATGTCCCTGTCACGTAAAAAAAAACAGGTAAAGACTGTATGTTACACTGAATTAATACTTTTACAAATGCATCTGAGCTGAACTAACATATACGTATTATTTAAGTCTAAAATACACTACATCACAATGCTTCCCCAACACCTTGTCACTTATTCACGGTGATCTTCTCTATTGAATATATGTATGATTTCACTGCAGCTCCACCTCAAAGGAATGTGTCTCCGCAGATAATCAAACGGGATATTCTCTGGCGTGGATGTTATTTATTTAATTCGCAATGTGACGTGCAAACATGCTATACTTATCTTCTTTTATGCTGTAAGTAGTAAGTAGTGTGGTTTACTTACACGGGATGGTGTAGAAAAGGAATACATTGGTAGGTTCCACACGCTTCGCTGGCTAGACATGTGATTAACGTGATGTGCTCGACTAGTTTGTCCTGAGAACAGTCACAACTTGAATCACAATAGTACGAGGTATCTATCAATGTGCGTCGCGACTTTGCCGTAGATAACATTCCAGCCCGCGATATCATGTCGTGCAACGATAACCTTGTAGCGATAGTTGACGATGCTTAGTCAGACAGACAGACAGACAGGTTTATTCGGTAATGTAGGCCCAAGGCCCATAATACATGCATTTGGCAAAAGTAAATACATACTGAGTAAAGCTAAGTAAAGTTTAGTATTGTTTTGTTTCTGTCGATGTTTAGTTATGTAACTGGATCGATGGATGAAATGGAGGAATTTTGTTTTAGGCTATGAGCTTTTCAGAACGGACAAAATGTGGGATGTATACATTCTTTCGCATTCAGTGTCCTCCCGTATCATTGATTAATCAACCCGGGATGAGGACAATAAGTGAGATTAGAAGAATTCATTTATGTCAATATTATTTTCCATTTTGTTTGAGGATATGATAAGTTGTTAAGGTACGAGGGTGGGTAAAAAGCTCTAAAAGTCGATGACACACAAGGACGTTTTATTTGAAAGCACTTGCCAGGAGGCACCATCACGTCTACCGACAGACCCATCACTAGCGCATGCACAAATTCTTAAACTTTCCGCCCTGGTAGTCGTTGCCAAGGAAACGTTACTCGCGTTCCCTTTGTAAACCAACGTGGCTTCAGAAAATATATATTTGAGAATGCGTTAAGGGGAACAGACGTTTGCAGCTAAATCTTGGTACTGGCATTAAGATGAAATCACGTGACAAGCAAAAGCAATCTGATTTGTAGTTTACATGCAGATAAGTAACAAAATATACAATGATCTTTCTGGGTGCGCAAATGTCGTCTTGGAATAGACCAGCGTATAGCCCTCGCAAAGAGATGCTGAGGTGAAAATGAAGTCGTAACGGCGAGGCAAATCAAATGTGTGCTTTCAGTTGGAAGATGTCTAACTGAAATTACCTCGAATGTCATCCGCTTAAACTGAGAAAAATATTTCTGTGGACATTACATCATAGGGGTATGTCCGCTGCAAACTTGCTTTGAGAAGTCAGCAGCATAAACATGGGTGTTTGACCGTTTGGGCAGATTCAGGAAACATGCGATAGTACATTTATACTCATGCCAATAATGGTTGTCACCCCCTTCAATTTTTTTAATTGGAGAGGGGTGTGGGTTGGGGTGTGAGTGTGTGGGGGTGGGGTGGGGAGGGGGTGACAACCATTATTGGCATGAGTATATTATTCTGTTCTATTACTGATGCCATCGTGCCATTCCATCAATATCAAGTAATCAGAAAAAATACCCGTGTGTTATTGTTGCATTAATAGTTAATGTTATTACCTTGATCAAACAACCTTTAAGCAATAGTGATATGAGGCTCGACTGTAACTGAAGGTGGCGAAATGTGAACACCAAAGGGTCGAGTTACTGGAGTATTGCTCGACATTAAGGTAAAGGTGATTATTGGAAAATCAAATCATCCCTTTTCAATAAGGATATATACTCGGCGTCGTTAATGAAGGGTCAAGCTATTGGTAATACTATTTCTTAAAAGTTGTAAAATCTTCGTTTTTGTTTGAAATATATACAACTGAATGTGTTACAAACGTTCTTAACAGTATGGAAAAACACATCAGGCCGTTGAAATGTCATTATTACGTTCTTTGACGTCCGATACATTCTGTTACAAATTGCACATTTTGTATTCAAATTGTCAATATGGAAATCCACCTGCCACTTAATGTCAATACGTGCAAGTCGCTCTATCCATGGAATGTGGAGGACAATACACATGCATTGATGCTTTTCTTCACTGTCGTTCACTGTTCAGGTACCTGTTTGAAATCGCAGCTGAAAATGAGACGTTTTTTTACACTTGCTGAAGGGGGTCAGGCTATAGGCCTTTTGGAATCTGGTCAAAATCAGTGGCAGGTTGCTGTCCGCTTTAATGTGAGTCAGAGTGCCATTAGTAGACTGTGACAGAAATTTCAAGCCAATGGGTCCGTGGGATATGCACGTCGACCAGGTCGCCCCAGAGTCACAACAGTCCGAGATGATAGGCACATGATTAATACTGCGTTGCGTAACAGATTCCTTAAGGCAGCAGATCTTCAGACAGAACACTTCAATGTTAACAATGTAAGGATGTCCAGGAGCAGCGTTCGTCGACCTTTAACGACAGTCGGACTCCGCTGTAGGCGACCTGCAGTTCGTCCACCACTAACACCACGTCACAGGCAGGCGCGTTTGAGATGTAGTGGACATCATGGCCGCTGGAATCAACGTCAATGGTCTCGTGTGCTCTTCACAGATGAAAGCAGATTCAGTTTGTCCGTCCATGATGGTCAGCATAGGATTTATCGTCGCAATGGATTGCGAATCACAGATGCAACTGTGGTCATGCATAACCGATTTGGCGGAGGGTCGGTCATGATTTTGGTAGGGATAACTCCTACTGGACGTACTCCACTGCACGTAGTCGACGGTAATCTTACCGGACAGCGTTATCGGGACGAAATTCTGGCTCCTACAGCAGAACCATTCCTGCAAGCTATGCATGGCTTTTATGGTCGACCCTCTTTACTGCAAGACGACAACGCTTGGCCTCATAGGCCCAGGGCTGTCACAGACTTCCTTAGGATGTAGGGTGTAGAGCGGATGGAGAGGCCAGCATGCTCGCCAGACCTCAACCCAATTGAGCATGCCTGGGATGTGTACACACGTCACCCAGCAAAAGTGGATCTCCCAGGACTCCGCAGAGCTCTAGTAGATGAATGGAATGCGATTCCGCAAGCTTTCTTTATGAACTTGATAAGGAGCATGAGAACAAGGTGGATCTGTGTCTTGGACACGCGAGGAGGGTACACAAGATATTGAATATCTAAGTGCTTCATGTCATTTTCATTTTTAGGGGGTTGGTCTATACAACTGATGTTTGCTGTAGCTGTTTGAACGTTTTGTCTGTATGTCACGTTTGCCAACACATTAAACATTATGATGACACTCTTTGTTCTATTATTTCTGAGAAACTTTTCTTGACATGTGCTATATATCATTTGGCCCTTTATTAATGACGCCGAGTATACTTTTGCAGGAATAAAACTTGGCAGTTGTGGGATGATTGACTTTCAGTAGGGTAATCTTGCTACTGAATTAAAATAAGAATGAAAAATACCCTCTGGCCCTGGTATTTAGGTTTATGGAGTAAATGGTTTCATAATACGAACAGTTCCACTGATGTGCTTTGGTTACAGGTAAACGGCAGAGAATTCCCCAAATACACGACACACCGTGTTCAACAAACACTAAACAAAGGGTAATGCACAGGTAGGATTTCATTCATCCAATCATCCAAACCTCATTCCCACCACAGGGGCGTGTCAAGCTTAGAAACAGCGTTAGAAAGACATATAGGTATATAGACCCTACCCTAGTACTATATATATAGGTAGGGTCTATGTACCTATATGTCTTTCTAACGCTGTTTCTAAGCGTGACACGCCCCTGTGATTCCCACATCAATGGAAGTAAATGTTAACATCAGAATAATCAGATTAGAAACATGCATCTGCCACCTTTAGTGCCACACATTCATCCTTATTCCAAGCTGCCACCAAAACCGTCACTAGAACATACAGCCTATACATTTCCAGCACATATACTCAAAGATGCTTCGATGTCCATGTAGAAAAAGACAACAAGAAGCTCCACACAAGTGTCTATAGGAAACCAACCCACACGGACCAATATCTTCACTTCTCATCTTACCACCCACTACAAGTCAAGAGAGATATAATCTCAACCCTAGCCAGAAGAGCAAAGAACATCAGTTAGACGACCCAAACCCTTGACGTCGAGTTAGAACACCTTCGTCATGTCTTCAGAAACCTTAATCAGTACCCACCTAATCTAGTCAACAAAACCATCAAGGCCAACCTCAAATCAAAAGACAAACCACCACGTCAGCAATCAGCCAAGTTCATCAGCAGCATACCATACGTCATACCAGCCACCATATCCGCAGACTACTAAAAAAGCAAGCCAACATAGACGTCATGTTCTAGAGGGGCACATCAAATCAGCGTATCCTACAAGCCAACGGTAAACCAGCTATAAGCAACAAAGAAGATCCTTCGGTCGTTGTCTACCACATTCAATGTGAATTTGGTGACTCGTACGCAAAGCATACGAAAACATACAGCACGAAGTGGACACAGTCACAGACATACGAAAAAACACATACAGAAGCGTAAGCGGTCACAGGCATACGAAAACGTGCAACTAATATGCCAATGAACAAAACAAAAATATTTTGGCACCATTCATAACATATTGTTTATTGCGTCCACAATTACAGCTAATCCGTAAACAAGAAGCAGTTCCTCTGGCGGCACTGGTCCCACCTGTAGGCGAGCTTCGTGGACACCGTTTGTCAGTGACGTCAGTTATGTCGGTGATAATGTATGTGGGTGAGTGACAATGATTCTGTACGTGACGTCTGATGAGTGTCAGTGACAATGATTCTGTACGTGACGTCTGATGAGTGCCAGTGACATTGATTCTGTACGTGACGTCTAATGAGTGTCAGTGACATTGATTCTGTACGTGACGTCTAATGAGTGTCAGTGACAATGATTCTGTACGTGACGTCTGATGAGTGTCAGTGACAATGATTATGTACGTGACGTCTAATGAGTGTCAGTGACAATGATTCTGTACGTGACGTCTAATGAGTGTCAGTGACATTGAGTCTGTACGTGACGTCTAATGAGTGTCAGTGACATTAAATCTGTAAGTGACGGCTAATGAGTATCAGTGATATTTAATCTGTACGTGACGTCTAATGAGTGTCAGTGACATTAAATTTGTACATGACGTCTAATGAGCGTCAGTGACATTAAATCTGTAAGTGACGGCTAATGAGTGTCAGTGATATTTAATCTGTACGTGACGGCTAATGAGTGTCAGTGACATTAAATTTGTACATGACGTCTAATGAGCGTCAATGACATTAAATCTGTACGTGACGTCTAATGAGCGTCAGTGACATTGGTTATGTAGGAGAGGTCATAAATGAATCCCGGCGGAGCGTGTGGCAAGACAAGACAAGAGTATGGCAGCCTTCATCCCCTCCACTCCACCCTCCCCCATCACGCCTCGGGCCAGTCTGCGCTCCGACATGGAGTACGCGCATCGGGCACCCATGTTCATCGAGCTGAAACCAAGGAGCAGTATTACAGAATCTTACATTATGTTCAGGAATCAACACTTGTGAGAGGCGATATTGTTCATATTTCACTTGTGTGTCTTCTTAAAACATTTCACTCATTCAAACTATTGTGTCTTATTAATACAGGCTGGAGCAGAGACCGGTTTCACAAACCAATCTGATCGCAAGCCGATGATGAAGTACTAGAGCTGCGATTACCGCAGAGGTCGCTTTGAGGAACGGGATCTTTGGGCTTGCTTAAAGTTTTTAGCATATGTGGACATGTTTTTATCATATGAGTTGACATGAATGCAATCTTTTTGGTATGTGTGCAAATAGCTAACATGGTGTAAAAAACCCTACCTATCTTCCTGACGAATCTATATTTTGTTACAGTATGTATTGTGAATAATACACGTTTTGAAAAACGACGTCCATCCAGCATCATTTTAATGTACAAAACGTGCGAATAAGGAAACCTTATCTATGATAGCGAAAAGTAGCACTGGGTCAACTGTCAGCACAGTAATTTAGAAACCGAATCGCGGACTGTGGGATAGTCCAGAGGTTAAAGTGTTCGTTCGTCATACCGAAGGTTCGGGTTCGATTCCCCACAACTGAAGACACGAGTATGTTACACCCTCCGTGAAACGACTTAAATAAAAGGCACCTGAAAACTTATGCTAAACCCTATTCACCCATATTGAACAAGATTCATAACTCTTTTTACACAACTCGACTATCGCCACCACACTGTGTTAGTTATTTTACAAACAATACCTACGTCTGGTGATGCTGATAAATGTCAGCCTCCGTCATGGTACTGTTGTAGCCAAAGGCTGCTCTCCACGCTATCAGTTCCACGCAACGATCAACAGTTGAAGACAAATCCCCCCACAGACAGGAAGCGTTCACTCGGGGAGGGAGGGACGCCAGGACTAGCACAGAAAAAGAAAACATAGAATGCAAGCTTTACTAATCTTAACTTTTTTCACAGTATTAGAGGCGAGAGACATACATTAACGGTTAGAAATTATGATGATAATGATGATGATGGTGGTGATGATGATGATGATGATGATAGTGATGATGATGATGATGATAGTGATGATGATGGTGATGATGATGATGATGATGATGATGATGATGATGATGGTGGTGGTGGTGGTGATGATGATGATGATGATGATGATGACGATGATGATGATGATGATGATGATGATGATGATGATGAAGGTGATGACGACGACGACGACTTACGCTGCTGAGCATACTGGGAGGGGTGGTCGTCGGTGCAGATGCCGTTGACAGCAGCATAGCTGCGGAGGATGTCGCGGTTGTGACAGACCGACGTCGCTCCTCAGTCACTTCACTGGAAGGAAACAGCCAAGTAAATATTAGATATGAAAACGCGGGAGTTGCTGGTGGAATCTGAACGCCGACGGATTTGGGGCGATATTGTGTTTTAAGTAGTTTTGTTTTATCACCAGATTTTGAACAGTGAAAAGAGATCATTTTGTATTATTTTAACTATCAGGACATGTCCGTTAGATACGACGTAAGTCGAAGGAGGTGAAACCAAACAGTGAAAACGGCATACGTTATTGACTCCACCAAGAACACACTGACGGCATACGTGCATGTGTTTAACAGCTGTGCTTAATAAAGAATAATGACAATTATTATGGATATACAACTTCTTTTATTCTGTGGAGGCGACGTTTCGACATAGATTCTAATGTCGTTGTCAAGCAAGTGGTTAATAGTTTGACACCAAAACAGGGTCCAGGTAAGTCCAAACAATTGGCATTGTTCGGGGTTCCGTTTGGATTATATTTTATATTTATTGAATCACACGATATTTCTGGGACTAAAATATAATGTTAGTGTAATATATGCTTGAACCCATTCGCCACCATGAGTTCATCGTCATCAACATCCCTATGTTTGCCAGCTGAGCACAGAAGGTCTCTTGCTGACAAGTGCAATGTGACTGGACGACTATCATTTCAGACCATGCTGTGGCACCAGCTCGGTACAATGTATTGACGATACTGGAATCGAGACGTATTGCCCCAAATAGCGGAAGATGTGCAAGGTTTACCTGCACACGGCGTTGAGTGTGTTGTGGATGTCTTGCCGTGTCAGAACACCGTCGAAGGTGACGTAATATCTCAGTAGTGTCATGTGACAGACGTCGTTCATGTACCACAAGAAGCTGATAAGCTTGCATCTTTCTGCAGTCATAGTATGACTCTTAAAATTGTCACAATGAAATGGAAGGGTATCAAACACTGAGCCTCCTTTTTAACTGAATTTTTCGGTTCGAATGATTTTGTAAAAGACAATTCATATATGAATATATGTTATCACCTGTCACGAAGCATTCATTTATTCTGTTGAGACAATTTTAATTAAAGTTTAATTTTAGAAAACTTTGAACGACACTGAGTCATACAAGAATAGTCCCAGTTATGAATTTTGGGACCACATGAACTAATTATCAAATGAACATAAATGATGGCATTTTGGTCTCTTTTATTCATTATCGCCATATATAGTTATACATGTAGTTATATCAGTTACGTGTGATTAAGTGTCTATATTTGACTGCGAAATTCCTTAGGAGAAAACAATATCTAGACTGTGTTCACCCATACCCTGTGGTTGGGACATCACCAACCCCAGAAGCAGGAGAGCCACAAACTTCATTCTTTAGAGTAGTCCACAAAACACCTGCAAACAATATAAGAACATAATATACTGCGAACAGGATGACAGCATACCTAAATATGACAGTATGCTAAACAGTATGACAGTATGCTAAAACACCTACAAACAACATGACAGCATGCTGAAATACCTGCAAACAACATGACAGCATACCAAATTACGTGCAAAAAACATGAAAGCATACAAAATTACGTGCAAAAAACATGACATAATGCAAAAACCCTGCAAACAACATGACAGCATACCAAAATACGTGCAAAAACATGACATAATGCAAAAACCCTGCAAACAACATGACAGCATACCAAATCACTTGCAAACAACATGACAGCATACAAAAATACCTGCAAACAACATGACAGCATACAAAAATACCCGCAAACAACATGACAGTATACCAAAATACCTGCAAACAACATGACAGCATACCAAAATACCTGCAAACAACATGACAGTATACCAAATACCTGCAAACAACATGACAGCAAACCAAAACACGTGCAAACAACATGACAGCACACCAAAACACATAAAAACAGCAAGGCAGTATGTTAAAACACCTGCAAACAACATGACAGCATACCTAAACACCTGCAAACAACATGACATATTGCAAAAAAACCTGCAAACAACATGACAGCATACCAAAACACCGGCAAACAACAAGTTGGTATACCTAAACACCTGAAATCACCATGAGAACGTAACATTAATTGGGTATCTTTATACACCTTTAAATAAAGTTAAGCATCCCTGAATATGTTGAACCTAACAAAACCATGTTCAAGTTCAGCGTTTGTTGGATGAGACGTGTGATAACAATGTTCATTTAAGGAAGTTAGATGAGACGTGTGATAACAATGTTCATTTAAGGAAGTTAGATGAGACGTGTAATAACAATGTTCATTTAAGGAAGTACTTGGTGGAAGGTGTCTCCCAAACACACCCTGTGGAGCATGTCCAGAAGCAACCCATGCATTCCGCGGTATTAAAACGTTGAAGGAAGTCCCTGTTTGTGCATTCTTGTAGTTAAGACATGCTATTATTCCCAACACTACTACAGACCCGTGCAGACAGGGGTTATAATTAATCTTCGTAATTTAATGAAGTCTGCAACATTAAACACAACACAACAATTGATATTCAGTAAGCCATGCTTGACTAACGGGATCGGGTGGTCAGGCTCGCTGACTTGGATGACGCACTTCATCGCATCACAAATGTATAGATTAATTCTCGGTATGTTGATCACTGGATTGTCTTGTCCAGATTCGATTATTTACAGACCGCCGCCACGTAGCGGAAATATTTGCTGAGTGAGGCAAACAACAAGCAAGCAAACGTATGCTACATGCGTTGATATATGCAAGCTACATGTTGAATGTTACATTCTGTTCCTTTACAAGCTGCAGAAACATCATAAAACAATTACAAGTCCAATACCTTCGTCCTGTATGTAGTCTGCAGAAAATGCGTCGTTTTCACTGTGATGTTCAGTCACTAATGTAATAACCTTTAGACTGGATTGGAGTGTCTCGTGCATACACTTAGATACACAAGTGGGTTTATGTCAAAGGTTAAACTACAGGGCAGAAATGAGGGGGTCCAATAGTTGGACACCGAAATATTAGCTTGAATGAGTGAATAGTGTTTTACGGCACATCAACATCTTGCCTCTGTTCGATGTGATACGTTCATGGAATGTTAGGGAGTGAAGAGTGTTTTACGAAGCATCAACATCTTGCCTCTATTCAATGTGATACGTTAATGTAGTGTTAGTGAGTTAACAGTGTTTTACGACGCATCAACATCTTGCCTCTATTCGGTGTGATACGTACATGTAGCGTTAGTGAGTGAATAGTGTTTTACGACGCATCAACGATCTTTTCTCTATTCGATGTGATACGTACATGTAGCGTTAGTGAGAGAATAGTGTTTTACGAAGCATCAACAATCTTGCCTCTATTCGATGTGATACGTTAATGTAGCGTTAGTGAGTGAATAGTGTTTTACGACGCATCAACATCTTGCCTCTATTCAATGTGATACGTTAATGTAGTGTTAGTGACTGAACAGTGTTTTACGACGCATCAACAATCTTGCCTCTATTCGGTGTGATACGTACATGTAGCGTTAGTGAGTGAAGAGTGTTTTACGACGCATCAACAATCTTGCCTCTATTCGATGTGATACGTTAATGTAGTGTTAGTGACTGAACAGTGTTTTACGACGCATCAACAATCTTGCCTCTATTCGGTGTGATACGTACATGTAGCGTTAGTGAGTGAATAGTGTTTTACGACGCATCAACGATCTTGCCTCTATTCGATGTGATACGTTAATGTAGTGTTAGTGACTGAACAGTGTTTTACGACGCATCAACAATCTTGCCTCTATTCGGTGTGATACGTACATGTAGCGTTAGTGAGTGAATAGTGTTTTACGACGCATCAACAATCTTGCCTCTATTCGATGTGATACGTTAATGTAGCGTTAGTGACTGAACAGTGTTTTACGACGCATCAACGATCTTGCCTCTATTCGATGTGATACGTACATGTAGTGTTAGTGACTGAACAGTGTTTTACGAAGCATCAACAATCTTGCCTCTATTCGATGTGATACGTTAATGTAGTGTTTGTGACTGAACAGTGTTTTACGAAGCATCAACAATCTTGCCTCTATTCGATGTGATACGTTAATGTAGTGTTAGTGAGTTAACAGTGTTTTACGACGCATCAACAATCTTGCCTCTATTCGGTGTGATACGTACATGTAGCGTTAGTGAGTGAATAGTGTTTTACGACGCATCAACGATCTTGCCTCTATTCGATGTGATACGTTAATGTAGTGTTAGTGACTGAATAGTGTTTTACGACGCATCAACAATCTTGCCTCTATTCGATGTGATACGTACATGTAGTGTTAGTGACTGAACAGTGTTTTACGAAGCATCAACAATCTTGCCTCTATTCGATGTGATACGTTAATGTAGTGTTTGTGAGTGAATAGTGTTTTACGACGCATCAACAATCTTGTCTCTATTCGGTGTGATACGTGCATGTAGTGTTAGTGAGTGAATAGTGTTTTACGACGCATCAACAATCTTGCCTCTGTTCGATGTGATACGTACATGTATCGTTAGAGACTGAACAGTGTTTTACGACGCATCAACAATCTTGCCTCTATTCGATGTGATACGTACATGTAGCGTTAGTGAGTGAACAGTGTTTTACGACGCATCAACAATCCTGTCTCTATTCGATGTGATACGTACATGTAGCGTTAGTGAGTGGACAGTGTTTTACGACGCATCAACAATCTTGTGTCTATCCGATGTGATACGTACATGTAGCGTTAGTGAGTGAACAGTGTTTTACGACGCATCAACAATCTTGCCTCTATTCGGTGTAATACGTACATGTATCGTTAGTGAGTGAATAGTGTTTTACGACGCATCAACAATCTTGCCTCTATTCGGTGTGATACGTACATGTGTCGTTAGTGAGTGAACAGTGTTATACGACGCATCAACAATCTTGCCTCTATTCGATGTGATACGTTAATGTAGTGTTAGTGGGTGGACAGTGTTTTACGACGCATCAACAATCTTGCCTCTATTCGATGTGATACGTACATGTAGCGTTAGTGAGTGAACAGTGTTTTACGACACATCAACAATCTTGCCTCTATTCGATGTGATACGTACATGTAGCGTTAGTGAGTGAAGAGTGTTTTACGACGCATCAACAATCTTGCCTCTATTCGATGTGATACGCACATGTTGTGTTAGAGATTGAACAGCGTTTTACAACACCGTTTTATTCTATGGGATGAGTGCGCGCAGTTTGAGTGAATACTACATTGCCAAATATTAGCAATCTTGCCGCTATTTGATTATTTGATGATTACATGTAGAAGGACTGGGGAAATACAGAGGCATATACATGTACAACTTTTAGCTTGATAACGGTGTGCGCATCTACATCGAAACGTTGCTTGGTGCAGTAAACATGACATTATTACCTAAATGGACGTTCCCTTACATGTATTTCACATTCTAAGATGCCTAGCGGTTAGAACAATCGAAAAAAAAACACATTATCAGACAATAAAGGTACAGTTTTTTGATGACGTAACAATTGAATGACGTTATCCCGTCATTGCGCCATTCTAGTGTGCCCCCTCGTAATCGAACCATTTTACATTACGTCACAATGTAAGCGACGTCACGATGCATGTCAGTTGTCATTGCCTCGTACGGCCTCCTACAGTAAACTACACCGTTGCATCCAGTTTCTTGGTTTGCTGTTGCTTCACGCAGCTAACATCACTGGTGGAAACATTACGTTTATGTTTTACGACGGTTAAAATGTGTCATCTCGACTCACAAGTTTTCAGCGACACGGTAACGTTCGTAATGTTTACATTCCCACAATGCAATTGTGGAATGTCGCTTGACTACTCAACTTCCTCTGGATGTACTGATCTAAACTTACGCTGGTAGTAGAAATGCAACGTTCATATTGCCCCATATGGTTTACGTTAATGACAGATGTAATTAAAATAATTCAGAGAAGATATTTAATCCGAAAGTAAACCGTCATCAAACTGTTATCATTTGTTTTTTTCTGGTAACGTTCGTCTTAACGTAGGGGGCAGACACATCAATAGAACAGCGCGCCAGTTAGCCCTGTGCGAGGATTCTAAATTTTGGTCACCGACACCGTCGTTTGTTTTCTGCCTTAAATTAATCGTAATTATCTTTAGAAAGTATTAAATTTGGCATCTTAGAAAAGAAATACACTTCGCCCTACCACCATGTATAGTGTAATAAAACACACTTTCGCCCTGAACTATTATAACGTTAAAGCACTCGGACGCAAGCGTAGAGCGAAGTGTATTTCTTAATTAAACAGCATGCCATCATGGCTTGATAACCAACTAAAGACGTCAAATTGGCCAAAAGAAAGATAGCTGATAAGTCATGTTATTCTACATCCGGGGAAGCCGATGTGCTCCGGCCCTGCGGGTTTTTTGTTCATTATATTGATCACACTGAAGTGAACAGCAGTGATGTAAAGGTGTGATGTGGCTATTACGGTGAGTTTTAACGCTGCTCTAAGCAATATTCCAGGAACAAGTTGGCAGGGAACACAAGAAATGAGCTTAACACATAGTACAAATGTGGGGAATCGAACCGATGCTAAACCACCGCACTTGCAGATATTACACCTGTTGTCCAGTTCTTCACAGGTTGTGCCGTGAAACAAGACACTTCAATGACTGCTTTATTGAGGTAAAAGGGAGCAGAGTGCCACATCCGGATGACACAAAAGTCACTATCCACTTTCTAATGCCCATACTGGTTTCTTGGGTATTCGGGCGGTGGGGTAGCCTAGTGCATGGTTAAAGCGTTCGCTCGTCACGCAGAAGACCCAAGTTCGATTCCCCACATGGGTACAATGTGTTAAGCCCATTTCTGGTGTCCCCGCCGTGATATTGCTGGAGTTTTACTAACTCGCACATATGATATACTGAGTCAAAAAAGAAACTTCACAAAATGTAATTTGAAAAATAATGAATAATCTTTCTCTGATGATACATCTATGTATCCGAAATGGGATCCCTATCTTTCGACTCTAGAAAAACGTTAGCAAAACCCACTCAAACCCATTCATTCGTCGTGCAAATGACGTTAGTGCCAAATCAGGTTGTGCACGTGCAGTCGATCACGTGATCTTCGCATCGAAGTTTTCTTCATATGCACGTGTTTGCATTGGCCTCAAGAATTGAAAAAAACACTTTTAAACCACAGTTCTAACGGTACTTGAAATGCCACGATTGTCAAATGTGCAACGCGAACGTGCCGTTGGCATGTTGCAAGCGGGAAGATCAGTTATTGACGTCGCAAGAGCAATGGGATGCAGCCGTCGTACTGTGTATGACTTGCGAGGTCGTCTACAACAAACTGGCACCACTCCTGATCGCCCAAGGTCGGGTCGTCCACGTGTGACGTCACGAGCAGAAGACCGTCAAATCGTCCTACGTCACCTACGTGACAGATTTCTGCCGGCTGCTGTTTAGAGGTCGACTGTCCTCACAGACCATTCGAAATCGGTTGCGGGCTGCCAATCTCCATTCTCGACGTCCATATCGTGGGCCAATATTGACGCCGTTTCATCAACGTCAACGTCTGCTGTGGGCCCAACGTCACCTCCGATGGACCCAGAGAGACTGGAATCGAGTCGACTTTAGCGATGAATCCAGGTTTACATTCAGATTCGCGGACGGCAGGCACTGAGTCTGGAGACGACGTCGTGAATGGTATGCCAAATGTTGTGTACAGGAAGTCGACAGATTCGGGGGCGGAAGTTGCATGGTGTGGGGTGCTTTCTGTGGGAACAACCGTTCCCGACTTCTTGTCATCCGTGGAAACCTCACAGCTGCTGCTTACCGAGACCAGGTGCTCACCCCTGAACTCGTTCCTTTCATGGCGGCTCATGGCCCAGGTCTACAGTTCCAGCATGATAATGCTCGGCCGCATATCGCGATGTTGACATGAAATTTCCTTCAAAACGCTGGAATCAACGTCATGGACTGGCCATCGAGGTCCCCTGACCTGTATCCAATAGAGCACGTTTGGGATGCACTTGGGAGAAGGCTTCGTGGTCTTAGGAACCAACCTCAGAATTTGCAGGAACTTGGCGCTGCCTTGCAAGAGCAATGGCGCAGAATCCCCAACCAAGTGTTCACAAGCATCAGGCAGTCGATGAGGAGACGGTGTTTGGCAGTGGTGAATGCGCGGGGCGGCCATACACGATATTGAACTGAGAAATTTCGCATTTTTATTCTTGTGACTTGACATTCTGTATACCCATGTTTTGGAACGGCGGTGTAGCCTAATGGAACTGATTATGGCACTGTCAGTGTATCGAGTACATCACACAGATCTCAGCAATGAAATAATAACAATTTAACCATCTTACCATCTCTTGTTCTTTTATAGTGCCCTGAAGAAAGAATGTGAAGTTTCTTTTTTGACTCAGTATATTATCAAACTTGCCTGGTCGTTTACAGCCCTTCGTCTACAGCGTGCGTGCATGCGTGCGAGCGAGATGATGATTTTCATGGAGGAGCATGTACAATGTCAATGCCCCCACACACACACCACCACCCCCACCCCACCCCAAATTTTATGTACAAAGTAAGTCCCCAACCCCACCCAGCCATAAATTATGAACGGTCCCTTAAGGATAATGTTTCTAAATACTGTAAAACCAGGACATGGAATGGGTTCAAAATGTATAACCTCAGTCACTTGGCATAGATCACATCAATAGTGTCAAGTGAGTGAGTGAGTTTGGTTTTTACGTCGCACTCAGCAATATTCAAGCTATATGGCGGCATTCTGTACATAATCGAGTTTGGACCAGACAATCTAATGATCAACAGCATGAGCATCAATCTACGCAGTTGGGATACAATAGCATGTTACAACCAAGTCAGGGAGCCCGACCACCTGATCCAGTTAGTCGCCTCTTACGACAAGCATGTGTTACTGAGGATCAATTCTAACCCGGATATTCTTCCCCGGTTAACAGTATAAAACCACACAACATTCACTCCTAATGACTCATATTTATCAGTCATTTTTTCTGTAGGACTTCACAAAAGAGTCGTGTCTCTCTCGCTATCTTGACAAGTGAGAAATGTCACAACCCCGTTTAGAACACTTGATACTGACGATCCCGGACATGCCTCTAGATAACTATGTGCATGGACAGGATCAGAATTTCACCTCAGGTTTATGGTATTAACATGGCTACAGCAGCTGTTGCACACTATGCCAGGTTCCAGATAATAAGAAATGGAACTGCTTTTCTTGTCAAATGATTCCTGTCTGAATTATCAATATTTCAGGACATATTGTTGAAGACAAGTTTAGCATTTGCATTAACAAGGGGACTGATAGATTAAATTGTGTTACTTGTCAGTTTATAAAATTCAAAAAGTTTGAAAAATTCATAAATTTTATAACCAATTTTTTCAAAGCGTTAAGGCCTTTGTCCTATGCTCTTTAGCCTACTGCATACTGCTTGAAATCTTTGTCTAAGAATTTACTGAAGCTACATGAATAAATTTATCAAAGTTCTCTAAAACATACCTGACAATACCAAGCTGAAAATGTTACCACAAGTGATTTTATTGTACAGTTATGGCCCCGTACCCATGTCATTTTACTGCACAGTTACAAATATTCTCAGGAAACTGAACTTACATGAAAGGTCTCCATGCTTAGGTAAGAAATACTTGTCTGAATCAATTAAAAAATTGGCGAGGTTTCATTCTTCCAGAGTTACATGCCTTCCTACTTGTTTTCACATTCTGTGCATCATGTCTTCAGTGGAGACACATTTCATGAGAAGCTGTCTGAGACACATATTCTACAGTTTACGTTAATTTCAATATTTCTCACTACTATACGAACAAAAAACTATTTCAAACCATTTTTAAGCCTTTGTTCCAGCCAACATTTGTTTGAGGAAGGTTTCATATGATAGTGCTCCGCTGCAGAATCACAAAAGAAAACCTTTGATTCACCTTCTGCGAAAATACAATTCCCGACTCAGCTAACCTGGACAGATAATTGCATTTAAAACATGACAAACAACAAATGTACTGAATTATTTTCTTTTAAAAAACAACATACACATTCATGAAACTTCATCAACCTTTCTCTAACATCTCATCATCTTCAGCAACTTGTGAGACTGACATCTTGTTCATATCTGTGGTAGCCTGACTTAAATCAGGCTCTGCCTCGTAACTCATATAGTCCTTGATTTCCCCATCATCAACTGGCTGTAAGCTTCCGGCCAGTCTAGGGGAATCGGTTCTCAGTGGGGAGTCAACTGTAAATGGCTCCTCACCATCGAAGTATCTCTCCTCCTCATCCTTCCCTAAGGTGTCCAGGGAATCATAGTCAGCGTTCTTGTCTACCTGGCTGAAAAGTCAAACAAAAAGTCAGCATTATTGTCTACCTGACTGATGAGTCAAACAACAAAGTCAGTGTTCCTGTCTACCTGACTGAAAAGTCAAACAACAAAGTCAGTGTTCTTGTCTACCTGGCTATTCCCCACATGGGCACAATGTGTTAAGCCCATTTCTGGTGTCCCCCGCCGTGATATTGCTGGAATATTGCTAAAAGCGGCGTAAAACTCAACTCAGTCAGTCAGTCAGTCTACCTGGCTGAAGAGTCAAACAACAAAGTCAGTATTCCTGTCTACCTGGCTGAAGAGTCAAACAACAAAGTCAGTGTTCTTGTCTACCTGTCTGAAGAGTCAAACAACAAAGTCAATGTTCCTGTCTACCTGGCTGAAGAGTCAAACAACAAAGTCAGTGTTCTTGTCTACCTGTCTGAAGAGTCAAACAACAAAGTCAGTGTTCTTGTCTACCTGTCTGAAGAGTCAAACAACAAAGTCAGTGTTCCTGTCTACCTGGCTGAAGAGTCAAACAACAAAGCCAGTGTTCCCGTCTACCTGGCTGAAAAGTCAAACAACAAAGTCAGTGTTCTTGTCTACCTGTCTGAAGAGTCAAACAACAAAGTCAGTGTTCTTGTCTACCTGTCTGAAGAGTCAAACAACAAAGTCAGTGTTCCTGTCTACCTGGCTGAAGAGTCAAACAACAAAGCCAGTGTTTTACATGGTGAGTATCAAAGAACATGGTTGTTTAACAGGGAATACAATTTCCAATGTCCACATCTACCTGATTGGCACATTAAATAGGGGAGCAGAGAATGTTATTCATGTTGCATTCGTGCAAAGCATACATACATCGATTCGTTACAGAACCTGTTCCGGAAAACAACTCTTCTGAAAAAACCCAAATCATATTTTAATTGAATTGTTTATACAGTTATGTGCTATCTAGTTTGGTGTACTTACTTTACAACGTACAGATCTAGACGTCAGTTACTTTCACAATCTGGTTCACTCTCGCTATCACTCTCTACCATCTGTAGCTTCTTTTTTAAAGAAAGTTAAAGTTCGACACTGAGATGTCAAATGACGACCTGTCTCGGCTGTTCAGACAATGTTGACAATCAACTGAGAAAGGTGCACCCCTCACAATAATAGACCCAACCAGTTGTGACACGGTCACGCAGTTCATTAGTATTCACTTGATCAGGTCAAGCTGAATAAGCTGTAGTCAACTATGGTATGAAACTGTTCTTGCGTTATTCTTTTTCCAAATATGGGTCAGGTTTACCTGTAAAACAAATAAGATCCCTTTTCTTAATTATCACTTAAATTTAAATGTGTTAGCCATTGCTCCTGGTGCATATTGGACTGGTGTATTCTACGTATGACAACTATGAACAGACAGCAACTTAAATCATATAAAATACACAAGCTAAAAGAATTATACACTTTCATGATGAACTGTTATTATGCCTATTCTGTTTCTTCTACAAAATGTTCTTCAAAAGATTATATAACCTTTAATAATGTTCTACAGCTTGTTCAACTTGACCTGATCAAGTGAATACTAATGAATTGCATGACCGTGTCACAACTGGTTGGGTCTATTATTGTGAAGGGGTGCACCTTTGTCATTTGATTGTCAACATGTCCGAACAGCCGAGACAAGGTCGCCGTTTCACATCTCAGTGTCGAGAAATCGTCAGCAATATCCTAACTTTCTCTAAAACTGAAGCTACAAACATATTCCAGTTGAACATGAAATAGAAAAAGTGATAATTGAACTGATGTAGAGAGTGAGAACGCGAGTGGAACGGATTGTGAAAGTAACTGACGTCTGTACGTTGTAAAGTTAGTAAACCAAACTAGATAGCATATGACTGTATAAACAATTCAATTAAAACATGAAATGATTGTTTTTCAGAAGTGTTGTTTTCCGGGACAAGTTCTGTAACGAATCCATGCACGCATGTTTTGCACAAACGCAACATAAATAACATTCTTTGCTCCCCTATTTAATGAAGTTAACTTGACCTGCCGTTTGTGCCATTTGACCTCCCGGGCCATGCATATTTAAAGTAGCTCAGGTCAAGCTGTACGAACTGTACCTGTAGTCAAAGTCCTTGTCTTTCCCTGACATGAACCTCTCCTGCATAATCTGCAGAAACTCTGACTTCAGCATCTGTTTCTCAACATCAGAGATCTTTGGTTTCTTTTCTCCCCTCTGGCCCGAAACCTGCATCTTCATCTTCCCCACTACTCTCCATCTCTGTAATACAACACGATAAATCAGGTCTTGTAACCATGGTAACAGGGTTGTCATTTCATCAATCTAAATTCATCTTGACAACTGAACTGGTTTATCATGCTTATTATTGTCATGACTACACAACAAATGTTTAAAAACAATTCTGACAAAAAATGTGAATAACAATAATTAATTAAGGTGAAAGGCCCAATTTCTGGATCCATTACTAATCTCAAACCCACCATACCTATCCTTGTGTAAAAGGTATGAGAAATGTTTGATCAATATTTGGCTGGCACACATTGGTGATAAAAATATTTTTAGTAAGATCTCAAAACTAAGCATGGATGTTGTTTTTAAAATGCTGTTGCCTTATTTGTGAAATGTGAAATTCAGAAAGACAGCAAAAAGGCTCTGTAGCTCCCCTGCTTATTCTAGATTATATGCATTCACTGACAAATGGTGTAATTAGGAAGGAATATACAAAAAACATTGCACATTCTAGATGTTTAAACATTAAATGACACATTAAGCATGTTCAGACATAAATGACCTTGCTAAGCATAGGGCTAAAAAGAAACATTTTCAACAAGGTTCACCTTTGCCACAGCAACCACATCATGTTCAATACTCATAGTAACAATTCTAACTATCCTACCTATCAAAGGTTTAGACTCACTGGTGTAAATATAGCCACTTACTTCAGTCAACTGTTCTAAACTAGATTTTGCAAAATACTCCATACTGTTTGAAGGCACTGTTTACACATGAAATGATGTATTGTAAAACAAATTTGTAATGTTGAAAAGATTATTATCGTCAATATATGATAAAACTCAGTAAAAATAGGCAAATTATTAACAAAACTTTACACCAAAACGCAACTGTTGATATGCACGATATTTGCACATGCTTTTCAGCAATTTGATGCATGATCCTCGTGCAATTCATCTGCATAGTGTTTGCAGTTGGTTCACCCAAGTTAGAGGAGAAATTCATCTTCGATGTAACCATATATGCATACATAACATATCGTGAGTGCTTTAAGTGAGTCTAAACTTTTGATGGGTAGTATACATGTTTGGATCCTGAGATCATGTCAGTGATTCTCACCTTCTTCCTCCTCACTGTCTTCTTCCTCTTCTTCCTGACATTCCTGAAATGAGACACTGAGTGTCAATACAACATAGTGATGGTGACCATGACAAAAACACAATTGATCATTATGATGTGTTTATCAAAGAAATCGAAAACTTTCTATCCTTACAGGTATGTAGAGGCAACATGAATAGTGATGTAATATGATGAAGGCAAAAACACATGTCACCGATAACATCATCCTAACAATTTAAACATGTTTTAAATTGGTAAAATATATCTGAATGTACCTTCAAGATGTGCAACATTCTAAATCATGTCAACAATAATATGAATAAGGATGATGTAGAACATATTTCATGATGCATTGACATATTGCTTGTCAACATATCAAATAATGAAATTAGTTCACACATTCATGCAAATAATCCACATGAAACCAAGTTAATAAACTGTGAAACTTCATTACAACCATAACCATGATAACCAAAATGCTACCAAAGTAATTAATTTTACATTAATGTTGTAACATCCACTAATAAGTGGGCTTATGTTGCATAACAGCATTCATTGTCGTTAATGATTTCATACTGTTGTGTACACTTTTTTGTGTTTACAATATATGCAGTCTGTGAAAATGTTTATTTTTGCATAATTTATGAAAGTATAAATTTAAGAACATGTTCGTACACTTTGCATAAAATCACTGTGCACAGTATTTATCAATAAGAATTTCCTTCAATATGTTTGCTGTTTATGGAGTAATAAATGTTGAAAAACAGTATGTTCTACAATTTAATTACGTTTACAACAGAAAAGATATATTGAAGTCAAATTCCTATAAATGACTAATTAAGTGAGCATTTATTATGCTTATAAATTCCTCAAGGTATGTGTGGCTGCTTGTGCTAGCCCAGACTTAAGCTGGTTTTATAGTGCAAGCTCATTGAGATACCATGCCACAGTTAAGTATGAATACCCTACTCAGACACATTATACTGACTCAGAGCTGATCAATCCTTGTTGGACCCGTTAATGCTGAGCGCCAGGCAGGGACCAACAAGTACCATATTTTAAGTCTTTTGGTATCACGCGGCCGGGGATTGAACCTGGGACCTTCCACTCTCCAGATGGACGCTCTAACCACTACACCACATAGGCGGTCTGAATTCCTCAAGGAATGAAACATGTTAACTAATCAGTATATACCTCTGCTTCCTTCTGTCTGGCATACAGTGCATTCTCCTCTATCTGGTCGATGTGTTTCAGCAGGATGTTCGAGAACCTCAGATCAGTTTTATCCACTTTACTCTGTATTTCTTCTTCAGTCAAGAAGTTGCCGACCATCTGTTCATACAACAGTGGGTCCCGCCACTTCATTTCCTCCTCACTAAAGTAATCTCCCTGACTAAGCAATTCCTGCATTGCCGCATATCGCCTATTTTTTACCACTTTTTGGCTGTGAACTTTGTCTTGTTGTTTCAAAATTTCTTTCAGGTAGAAATCAACCTCATAATCTTCTTTAAAGTCAACAAAATAATCTACATCCTCTATTGCAAGAAACTGTCCAAATCGGGCCAAGAACCTCCCTGGACCTTTTGAAAGAACTTCAGTTGCAATTTGTACTTTTTCTTCATATGATAAATCCGGATCACCTCTTTGCTGGTGTTTGAAATGAGCCTCTGACTTAGCAACACGTGAGATCATATTAAATTTCAATTGATCAAACTTATCTCCACATTTATCACCTTCAACAGTATCAGCATTAGTTGGGTCAGTGATATGATCATGAAATCCTTCATTTGTTTCCCCAGTTGTCATCGCATCAGCACATGCAGCAGAACTGTCATCAACATCCATTTTCAATTGGCTGTAACAAACTATTAACAACAGATACAAGAACAATACTTAGCAATGCTGTCATTCAAGCTTATACGTCTTAACTACATTCTACTTTCTTCCACAAATTCAACAAAAACATAAAGGTCGCCATGTTTGATATCCTTAAAATCCGGACACTTAAAAAGATTTACTTAAAGCTGAAATAAGGAAACGGAAAGAGAGTAAATCCCTCCTTGACCACCGAGTTTTGCTTCATAATCGTTAAAACTTCCTGGCGGAAATTATAATATGTTTTTCTGTTTGAATTTAAGTCGAAATACGGTAGTAAATATAAATAGCTATTATTAATAAATCGTAATTCGTTGCAAGTTTATAAAATGACTACATGTTTTGATACTCACTCAATTTTATCCTGGTTAAAGGTATAGATCTATTTTAGCCAATGACAGTCAATTTTACAAATGTGACGGCCCAATTAAAGTAGAGTTTACTTCACCCGCATTTACGTAAACAATGTGCTTTCCAAGACCGGTAGCATGACATTATTATATCGTTGAACTGGGTATTGTAAACCGAATGTTGGTTCTGTTTTTCAAACAGCGAAAAAATAGTCATGGCAGAAAACAAGGAAAGTGTCACATTAGTAGATGACAAAGAGGAGAAGAAACGGGAGGTGAGTTATCACTAGATTCTACCAGTTCATTACAGGGGTTACATTGCTGTTTTCACCTCACCTGTTCACCTTCAAAACTGATAGACCAGTTGTCTGTCGGACAGTGTGTTCATATCAATAGCTCAGGCGGCAGTGATCAGAACTAACTGGTTAGTAAACTCTTACCAACATTTCTTCACACAGATTACTCTGACAGAATGTTTCCAGTACTCAATAAAGATCATCACATGCTAGACTCAGATTACGCTGACAGAATGTCTCCAGTGCTCAATATACATTAAAATACACTGACGTCTCATTCTCTCCTAACTTATCAAAGACACCTTTATCTGAAACACGAGTCATGATACAAGTATTTACAAGGTCTGCACAATGATACCCACCTCGGTCAAACAAGAATGAACCCAGCCATCAAGAAACGTAGGACATAAAACACACAAACTGATAATATTATATATTATTCACTGATACAAAAATGTTTCAACTGTTAGGATGATCATAGTTCAGGAATAACATGAGATGGCAGGAAGTCTAAGCAACAGTACATGAAAGGTTTTGAGTGAGTGAGTATGGTTTTACGTCGCTTTTAGCAATATTCCAGTAATATCATGGTGGGGAACTCCAGCAATGGGCTTCACATTGTACCCATGAAGGGAATCGAACCCGGTTCTTCAGCATTGTGTTCAGCTTGACAAGCAACAGCTTTAACCATTTGGCTACCCCACCACCCCTCAAAGGTTCTGAAGCATTGTTTGTGAACAATACCCTCAAGCTAACTCAGCTTTTGTTTCTTGTCCTGGAGTGACCACACTATGGGAGTAGGTTCATCATGCAAATGACCTCTTTCTTGTTTGTACTCTGCACAGCTGCACTTAGTCTATTGGATAGGTATGCACATAGAAATAGTTGTTTACATTTAACAATATTTTCTCAGTAAAATTTAATCATTTCCTAGTGTGTGTTTATCAAGGTGTGTAGACTTGTCTAAAGTGAAACAGATTAATGACATATAAATTGGCTTTATCTCCAGAGTAACCTGCCCCTACGACAGTACAGTTCATCCTGCATAAGAAACTGATTCTTGGCACTTTATTTTGTAATAAATCAAATGCTTTCCATGATCTTGAATACATGACTCGTTTTATGGATTTTACTTTAGTCAAAGTCCATATTAAACATGATGTCTTTTTTAATTATTGCAGTCCCTGTTGGTGTTTGGGAACAACATAGCTGAGATCCCCTGTTTCCGGAAATCGTTCCTTGTTGGTATATCAAGTGGCCTTGGAGGGGGCATCATATACTTCCTATTGACAAGTAAGTGTTAGTTTTAACTGATTAAGTTGCTTTGTCATTTGGTATGATCACACTGATGTGTGTGACTCTTGCTTAAAGACCTGACTAGTTTTGTCTTCTGTAGAACAAAAACATGATGAACAAACATCTAAAAAATATCGAAGATACTATATACATGGCTATTAAATGACCCAAGTACAAAGTCATATATGTAAAGGGATATGAGTGACCTTACGGTCCATCAGGCCACAATTTGCTGGGCATAGTTGCTTCGTTTAGCCATACCAGGATCTGATAAACAGGAAATCAAAAGTCATGGTGATGATGATGATGATGATGATTTGACGTTTTACGTCGGCTTCTGGCTGTAGCCAATGTCGCCAACGGGGAAGGGGAAGATAATAATTAATAAGTTTATAATAAGGAATAAACCACCTTACCCCAAAAAAATGTAAATGATGGGGCATACCCATGTTCCTGGTTTTCACTAGTAACTTCCCTCGGTGGCATTGTCTCTGTCACACATCATTGATTTCATAGCCACAGAGGGAAATTGAGTAAAGGCCACGTGCCACAGAGGTACGGGTGACCAGTTTCAATTAACAAGGTGTGAATGGCTCAAGGTTGTTAGTGCATAATTAACTAGTTGTTAACGGGGTATAATTAATTAATTGCTAAATCGCTACTGTGGTATTGTGGTAGTCTCTGCTGCTCGCCTGCCGATCGCTACTGATGGCATTGTGGTAATCTCTTCTGCTCGCATGCCTATTATACTTTTTACCCTTTTTAAGAAATTGAGAAGGAAACAGGAAATGGTCTCCTACGTTTTAGACTTGGAGAAGGATTGAGAAGGAAATGGGTTGGTATATAATATCAGTTACCAACTATCATGTCACTTATCAAAGTTTCGAATTCACCATAGAGATAAGAGGGGAGACTGTAGACAGCAGACAGGGAGGACAAGATATTCTATTACAGGGTTTCAACACAGGAGCATGTCATGCATAGAAACAGAGAAAATGAGCAATAAATGGTCACAATCGGATCATTATTTCAAAAGTTATATTCCACGACTCACCAAAAACAGCTACCTTCGCAATTCCAAGCCAAAATCATGGATCAGCCAAGAGAGCGAAAACTCACCTTTTAAATTAGTTTATTAATTCCAGCCACGTCGACAGCACCTATGTAGGGCTAGATTCGATCGGCAGAGGCATTCCACAGGTCTAAAAACTTATTGCAACATCTACAAATCATTTCCTCGACAGTAAGCAGGAATTTTCTCCAAAACCATCGGCAATCATACTCACATGTCGGCCATAGATGGCCTTGACATGTAAGTGACCCGAGCAGTAATTTGGTAAGAATTATTTTCGAGGTTAAATATCTGTAAATATAATATCCTAAAAATGAATCAATATCAAATGCGTTTTTCCAACCTCTAAAATTATTCTTAACAATTTACTGTTCCGTACATCATCCAAACTAGAAGGAATATTGCAAAGTTCATATTTCGAACCCATTAGCAAACAGGCAAAATCATACAGTATATTATATTTTCCACCAATCAGATGGCCCAATTCAGTTTCTGCGGATCTGCTCAGATCACTTGAATGTTTTGCTCTTTCATGTAAAGTCTTTAAGGTCACATGCAACCCAAAAAACAATCATAATTAAAACACAGTGATCACTTATTCATGACATAATATACAATGCTGATTATGAAAAAACAAATATCCAAAATTATAAGCATACAATCGCAAACCAAAAGTGCAATATTTTGTACTTGGGTTTACTTCCCTCGAAACGAAGCAGCCGGGATACCGAACCCAGTCAGAGCGGGTGGGTGTGCACTTAAGTGTAACAAAGGCTTTCATTGGCAGGTTCATTTGGGGATACACTCTTTGTGTGTGTATAGAGATGTTGGGTTTTGTAAATACATGCTCATTTTTTGTGTATAGCATTTTTGCAATCAACAGACACCATAACATGTCATGTGTACAAGTATCACACCTGCTTGTCTGTGTAATTACATAATGTGACAGAGACAGAGCTCGGGTGCATGGGCCATAAATCAATGCGTTTTGTTTATGGTGTATAGCCTGATAGGTGTTCAGTTCAAATTGCATGTGGTCAGTGATCGCAGTTGTGTATTGAATATTGTCATTAGCAGACAGGCAGGCAGACACATAGATGTCAATAAAACAGACATTGAGTTTTGTGACAGAGGCATATCTATATCACAGTTAGAAATTGTGACAATGTTTAACATTGATGTTGATGTTAAGTATCGAACTGAGAAAGTGACTCGGTAAGAAGAACGTGTGGTGAAATAGTTAAATGAAATTATATAAACAGTTAAATCGGTAATCTCCTGTCCTAACATATAAAGAAGCTCGCGACTGTGAAATATCAACAAAACATCAACAAATAGCTCACATCAAAGCCTACTCCAAGTACTCACCGCCAGCGAAGGTTTTCCCACCTTGAAATGTCAAACGCCTCACTGGTTGACACATATCTGAGTAGATCTAGATCCTTAACAAGGTTCTTTTATGTAACAAGTAGATTATTTACTGTTTGTTGTTTGTGTACACAACCAAGATTAGACTACTCCTGCACGACCTTATAATCCGGACATCCCGCTTCCAACGTGCGCTTCCAACACCACTCTTTCAAAATTTCTATTTTTTTGTTTCCCCCTCATTTCTTAGTAAGTGTACTACCCCGTCGCTGAAATACCTTAGTTGTGCGTGCGATGCTAAATAAAGCAAATAACTAACTAACTCCAAGCTGCACGAACCTATTCACTGCACATGCGCCATGAGCGCAGTGCAGTGCAGCAAAGCTGCTGAAACCACTTTTCACCCCAGCTGGGTTGAATTTTGTGAATCGTTAGAACTCCGGGGGTTTTATTTGGTTTTTTTGTTTTGTTTTGTTTTTTTGTTTTGGGTTGTTGGGGTTTTTTTTGTTTGTTTTTTTGTTTGTTTGGATTTTTTTTTTGATTTTTTTGTGCGTGTGTGTGCGCGCGCGTGCGTGCGTGTGTGTGTGTGTCGTTATTTTTCAACTTTTATAAGTTGAATTTGCATTTTGGATCATTTGTTACTGGAAGTCCATACCGAATCTGCAAAGTTGTGTTTTACGTTGCATGTGACCTTTTAGAAATCTCCACAGTGTTAGACTGTTCTGAAAGTTCACCTTAAGGTTCTACTATGGTGTCTTCATGTCTTTACAGGGGCGGTGGGGTAGCCTAGTGGTTAAAGCGTTGGCTTGTCACGCCGAAGACCTGGGTTCAATTCCCCACATGGGTACAATGTGTTAAGCCCCTTTCTGGTGTCCCCCGCCGTGATATTGCTGGAATATTGCTAAAAGCGGCGTAAAACCACACTCACTCACTCACTCATGTCTTCACACAGGGAGGTATCATATCAGAGATTTTGACACCATTTTTTATGACAGTATGCTAATATAGTTCATGATACTGGTATATTCATGTTTCAAACATTCTTGTACCATTTTGATTCACAGGCAATACCAGGAAAGCACCACATGTAGCTTTTGGAACATATTTCCTGGGAACCCTTGGAACATGGTGAGAATCTTGACACATTGGGATGCTTTATATATTACTTGCAAAATATAAGTTCTGTCATTTTGCTGTGTCACTGAATCAACATTCTTGTTAAAAGTTCCATTCGTACAAAGCACGTATTGATGTAAAAACATTATTTGAATTCAGTTGAAAATGTCAGTCACGAAGGGGTCATGTTTGAATTGTCATCCATGTCTGTCCTGAATCTGTGCTCCTAAAACTGCAGACCCAGTGTTTCAGAATAAATCCTCAGCTCCCAACTCTTGCGTAAAGAACTAATTAAACAAAAAAAAATGTAGGTGCTAGTAACCACCTGAGAATCAAACCATGGACGTTCTGATCCAAGGTTGGGCGCTATGTCCGCATGATCAAAGAGGTTAATCCACTCAGCATGGTCTGATTTGTTGGGTGACACCCTGCCCGCTTACTCCAGCTGTATTACTGCATGTATTTCCAGGGCCTACTGCAGGTACAATTGGTCAGCCACTCGATTCAAACAGCGCCAGCTGCAGAAAGGCCTGGAGATGAAGGTTATGTATGAGGGAACTGATCTTGAGAGGAAAATGCTGTCAAATGCTGACAGTAAGGAAGTATGACAGAGGCAACATATAGTTTTATCAATGAAGACTGAATGTATTAAGTTCATGACACATCATGGAGGGCCTGGATGCTTCGATGACAGCAGTAAACTAGTTTCAGCAATGAGTGTGTCAAGAATTACACAGACTTTGTGTCAAACCCATGATTCAACTGGATTTGATTACACTACCCGATGTGAAATGTATGTTCTGTTAGTTGGTTATTCAAGCTGAGAAGTAAATTTACTCTTAAGAATTGAAAATAGATGCTAATGTCAACTGCAAATCCTTTTGGATACAAAAGAGTTATCATTGTTATAGCTGTCTGAATTATTAAAAAGTAATGCATTTTTACCATTCGTGTTGAAGGTTTCAGGCTGCTAAGATTTCTGTACTGATAAGAAATGTAAGAAAAGCATTCAAAGGTCAGAGTGCACCTTGGAAAGTGTCAAGTTTATTTCGAACAGTCATCACCAGTTAGACTTAGCAAAGCGCATTGAAGCAAGTGTGATGTTATTACCGTACTTTTGGAAGTCAAGTGTGCTTCCTTGTAAACATCAAACAAGCAGCCTGGGACACTCACAATCCTAAGGATTGCAAAAAGAGCAATGTAAAAACAGTGTTGTTTAGAGGTGTGACGATACAGAAATTTCACGATACGATATGTATTGCGATACGATTCGATTCGATGCATATCACGATATGCTATCTTTAGTTATGTTCTTTAAAAAATCTTATTTTAATAGCAAGTGACAGTGTAAATTTTGACATAACCGTCAATATCTAAAAACAATTAACAATTTTAAGGTCAACGATACATATCACGATACGAAAAAACGTATCGATATATTTATCGTTAGATAAAGTATCACGATTATCGATATATCGTCACAGCCCTAGTGTTGTTACATGTACCTATGTAATCCCTGGGAAATATATGGGCCGTTTCTTTCATGTTTCATTCTTGATACATGTACATTGGTAGAATATTTGGAGTCATGCTACTCTGATATAATTGTTTTCTAATCATATGGAGATTGTCATATTTTGTTAATATATGTGTGAATGAACTACATTACAGAAATATACATGTAGCAATAATGTTAATGCACTACATGGTATATTGTGATAAAGCCAAGCACAAATATTCTGTTTGTGATTTTCATAAGAATATATCTTTTCTTCAAATGTTTATAGATTAGGAAAATCCATCTTGGATGTATGACAAGGTGCCAACTATCCTCATTAAAAAGCCACCCCAATATTACCCCTTAGGGACATTTGAAATTAAGTTAATAGTAAAAACAAATTTACTCTGATACATACCCAGCATTACATTTTAGGTGGCAATTTTCATAGGGAATTATTTTTCCAGGATGATTTCCCAAGAATTATATGACAAGACTTTTGAGATAAATTAGTGAATATCTTGATACATTCAGTATTTTGAATAATTTGTTCAGTAGTGAGAGGGTAGAAACCACCTGGTACAGACAACATGAGTCTTGTGTGGGCAGTGCAGTGTGTGCTTGTTGGAATCTGTTAGGGTACTAGTACATATATTTCCCATAGCCAAAGACTACCAGTCCAGCCGAAGAATTGTACTGTGTGAAAAAATCAGTTTTATGTTTTGTTGAAATAATAAACAAGGAAGTTTCAACCATGTATTGTTTATTTCATGTCTGCATTTTCACTCCACGCTCATACACAGGCACACATACTCATCCACTTATTGACACAGTAAAACATTGCAGCGACACAAACCTCCATTCACACACACCACAACATGACATCTTGCTTGTCATACCCACACAGGCTAGTGTCTTTATATCTAGACGTCTTGCATGCCATACTGACATGGACAAAATACTGTGTAAAGACACAGTGATCTGAGTTAAAACTACTGTGAACAGTATTTCAGTTAGGTCAGATAATTCTGGGAACAAATGAAGAAAACCAGAACCGATTACTACTATCATTGTCTGACAGTCAGGAGACAAGATCCGTAATGAGGGCACATCTTGCTGAAAACCCTGAACCAGTTGGGTCTGGTATCAAGGGACACAACCCTGCACAGGGTGTTGCAGTGTCATAGACCAATGAGTGAGTGAGTAAACATTGCTTAACACTGCATGAGAAATCTTACAGGTATTTATGAACCCACATATCACAAGGCCACTCATGCCCACTGTTGTTCAGTATGTAGACAGGTTTTCTCACAATGTGAACCAACTGACATTTATTGGATGTTAGATTAGCAAATATATGAAAAGTGCTTGTGGTTTTCATTAACTAATGATTAGTGCTGCTTTCTGTCATTCTCTTCTTTAATGTAACCTATGAATCCTTGAAGTCCACAGAAAAAACTTGTGTGCAGTAGGACATGCAGTCATCCAGCAGATAGCATCCTACTGCATCATGTAAAACAAAGCCCCATCATTTCAGACATAGCATGACAAGGTCTCAGTCATCATGAGCTTCTGCTGTGGCACCAGGGCAGTTGGATGCTAGATCGGCAGCATCTGTAACATTGTATTAAAATAATGTTCACACTGAACTTTGGAAGTTTACAAACTTCAATGAAAAGCCTTAAAGCTGATTACAGTGGGATAGGGCAAGTACAAAATGTTATCTTTATTGACAGCCATGAAAGTTTTGATTGCAGACCCTTGTCTTAATAAACATTACTATGCCAAATGAATTGTTTTAGGTTTTGCACAGAAACTGAGCATGACAATGCTCATAAACCTTTGTGACTCGAGTGACATTGAGGGTAAATCAACATACCATTATATCTAGTTCCACACCAGACACAGTACTTATAGGTTTTCCTAAGGTACAATGTTAAAATCTCCAACATCTCTGCAGCCTGAAAATAAAAAACAATGAAATTTATGAACTACTGAAGCAGTGTATCAATACAGTGAGACCCAAACACTACAATCTTCAGTAAGCGTACCTATATAGTGCTACTTCTTAACATTCTCAAACTTTGCATTCAAGGCAATCTTGCTTGAAATCTGTTCACTACTATGAATTAAGACATAATTTTACATAACCTGGGGGCGGTGGGGTAGCCAAGTATCTAAAACGTTCACTCTCCACACTGAAGGCTATTACTTATGTAGTTCATAGGGCTGCGCAATATAACCGGTTCAGACATGAAAACGATACTTATTGCGATACGCTGATCGAAAACCGGTATTTTTGACTTGCATTCGGAAAACTTCGTAACACTCGGAAATCTTCGGATATTTCCTTTTTTCATTTGTGCCAAATATTATTCACATTTTTATTTTTAATCATGAATAAAAGTTGTTATTAAAGCTTAATGAAGCATAGTGATTTTGCTGTGTATTTGCTCTATAAATCAAGCATTACCTCGATTATAAGTAGTTTTTTGTTTAAAAATACTTCATGCAATATATTGCAATACATATCGCAAAACATGTTTTCGCATCACAATATATCGCAATATGAAAATTCTCTGCAATACCCATCCCTAGTAGTTCACATATCTAGACAAAATAATTGCATAGCACTGGCAGCCACAACATTCCACAGTAGAATGGGGATTTCTGTCCTTGTAATAAGTGAAGCTAATTGATAAATCCGTCACATCAGCTTAATAATAGCCATACGATCAAACTGCTTACAGTAAACAACTCCATCTTTTCTTCATCTTCCTCTTCTTCCTCGTCCTTATCATCTTCATCATCATCTAGAACCGAGTCGTAACCTCCAGCCATGTCAGATAATCCTTGGTTCAGTCTGTCATTCTCAGCTTTTAATTCCTTGTTTTTAGGATGGAATTCTGCTGGCCAAAAGAAATACTCTGATGGCTTGGTAAGACCCTGAAACGAATCAAAAGCTTTGAAGTGAAAAGCAATGTTTCCTATATTGCATAAACAAACATACAGATGAACCATTTTTATCCCCCTCAACGCGTTTTGCGGGGGGTATTAAAATGGACTCCGTCCATCCGTCCGTCTGTCCGTGCACATTTGTCTTTTCCGGAGCAGAACTCTAAAACCGTTCAATATTTCTTCACCAAACTTGGCACATACATGGATCTGGCGGTGTACTGGTGCCTTTTGGTAGTTTTGGAATTCTGAATAAAATATTTTTGGCATTTCCATGGCAACAACAAATTTGACTAAAACTGAAATTGGTAGGAGTGCTCTTTTCCGGAGCAGAACTCTAAAACCGTTCAATGGTTCTTCACCAAACTTGGCACATACATAGATCTGGTGGTGTACTGGTGCCTTTTGGTAGTTTGGATTTCTGAATAAAATATTTTTGGCATTTCCATGGCAACAAGTTTGACTTAGACTGAAATTGGTGATGGTGCTCCTTTCTGGAGCAGAACTTTAAAAACCTTTCAATTCTCTCCTTCCACTTTTCTATATACACGCCTAAATATTTGACAGAATCATAACTCGTAGACATAATCATGAAGAGTATATTGCCATTGCGGGGGATATTGATGACTTTGTCTTCTTGTTACTTCACAGTTTTAACTGTACAAAAGTACTGGTATACTACTCAAATGATGTCAAAGAACATCCGTTTTTTACACAGGATTATAGTTAACATGATCTGTGATACAGTCATTGTTCTTTAAAGGCACAATTTGACACATTTTCGACAATATTTTAGCCTGTATATAATATATATATTTATATATATTGGGGTATATCCACTTACTTTAGCTTCCTATTGATGAAAAATCCCGCCTTATTATCCCTTATGACTTGCCTGAAATCGATACTTAAAACTTCGAGGCAAACAGCTTCCAAACAGATACTCTTGCCATATATGGAATGTAAACAATTGCTCTGTACATCGAAAACTGTTGCACACATTGTTGCTGAACTGGTTTCAATCACAAGCTGCACGTATGTTTTTGTGCCAGACATTGCAACATTGCATTAATTCATTTGAACTCTTCAATTTAACATTGGAATCTAAATATGTAACTTTGTTTGGACTAAATTATATATGGTAACTTCCCTGAGGGCTGATAGTTAGTATTATTGAGTAAATGCATTATTTATTGTTGAAGATGTGTGGTGTGAAATAGTGCCTTTAACTTCCTTTGAGTAGTTTACCAGTACTATATATTACACCATATTATTATTCCCTCGGCATGTAATGCGGGAGGATATAGTCGACGCCTCGTCCGTCCGTCTGTAATCTTTTTGTTTCCGGAGCATAACTCAAAAACCGCTGAATATTTTTTAACAAAAATTGGTAGATGTATCAAACAGAACCTGAGGTGGTGCCTTTTGCTATTTACAGATTTTTGTCATTTATATTTTTCTCGGTTTCCATGGAAACGTTTTGGACTTAGTCTTAAAGGGAGGGTGGGCTTCGTTTCCGGAGCACAACTCAAAAACTTCTTAATATCTTTCAGCAAAACTTGGCAGATATATGAGACAGATCTTGAAGTGGTGCCTTTTGGTATTTACAGATTTTTGTCATTTTTATTTTTTTCAGTTTCCATGGAAACAATTCAGACTTAGTCTCAAAAGGGAGGGGTGGGTTTCGTTTCTGGAGCACAACTCGAAAACTTCTTAATATCTTTCAGCAAAACTTGGCAGATATGTAAGGGAGATGTGAAAGTGGTGCCTTTTGCTATTTGCAGATTTATGTGATCTATTATTTTCTCGGTTTCCATGGAAACGTTTCAGCTAAAAAGGGAGGGGTGGGTTTCGTTTCCGGAGCACAACTCGAAAACTTCTTAATATCTTTCAGCAAAACTTGGCAGATATGTGAGGCAGATGCCAAAGTGGTGCCTTTTGCTATTTGGCGGACATTTTTGGCATATTTATTTTTCCCGGTTTCCATGGAAACGATTTGGACGTAGTCTAAAAAAAGTCAAGCTGGACTTTAAGTAACTGTCAGATGATTTGTTCTTTCAAATATGTGGGGGCTGGGGGGATATGTCATCTTCTGGTGACTCTTGTTGTATTTGGCAATCTTCACCTTGCAATTATTTGTATGTAGTTGGCCAAAAGCTGCCTTCAAAGGTTGATGTTCTGTATGTTCAGGCTGTGTGAGGACATCCAAATGTTAGCTGGGTTGTTGGCATCAGCAATGGTGAAACCCACAAGCATGGATACGGTGATGACAGACAAGCATCACAATCAGTTCTTATCGAGGATAACATTTAAAACCATGACCAGCAGTTTGGGGACAAAATCAGAGGAGAGGGATTTGCAGACACTACTTGACACGGTTACACATTAGAAGACCTTAATTCAAAGATTAAGAGCTTCTAAAAGGTAAACATCAATACAATGCCAACTGAAACAAGGTCAGTCACCTATAAACTTACAGCTTCAGCATCAAGCTGTTCACAGACTTTCTGACTTTTTCTGAGATCTCCATCTGCTCTTTTTTCTGCAAAGCGACCTCCCATCCTCTGGACAAACTCTGTCCGCTGTTTGCTGTCCCTCTTCTGTCTCTTGGCAAACATGCTGGCTCTCATGAGCCTCTGCTCTTCCTGCTTCCTCTTCTGATGAGCTTCTTGACCCAGGCCACCACGGCCAAACTTCAGCTGAATGGGGACTGGCTCTTTCCTACCAGAACCTGGTAAAGGAGCAAAATACTGTACATAATTCAAAACTCTTTGTATGTTTGATTAGAAATATTTTTCCTGTAAGAATGAATTCTTTTTCATGTCAGAGTTTGTTTACAAGCTATATTTTATCTGTAAATACTTGGGTCCACACCAGACAGAACAGCGATTGACAACACAATGAAAAATACCAATCTTCACACCACAATCATAACTCTCTGTGTAAACATGTTGACAGTTATATCAACATTGCCAGCATCTTTGACTATCTGAATCATGTGGCCATAACCAAACACTGGTATAATACCTGCTTTGCCAATTGCCATGCCAGGTTTGTAGCCCATCTTCTGCAGCATAGCAAAGCCCTTGTTGTCGCTGCCAATGTTCACCTTCAGACCCTCCTCTCTCTTCTCCTTCTCTAAGGTTGCACGAGGCTTGTACATCTGTCTATGCACACTGTTCAGCGCTTTCTTCTTTTTGTCTTTCTCAAACTTCTTGGCAACGCGTTCTGGCAGCAACCCTGGTCTTGTGTCGCTGCTTTATGAACATGATAAAAAGAATTTAATCAGGGTTTTATAGTTTTCAGTAACTTCTGGGTCATTGAAAATAAATTGGTTAGCATTATTTTTCAGATTTATGTATTCAGGTTGTTTTTGCAGTTAGGAATAATGTGGTTTTAAGGAGGGGGGGAGGTGTTAGTGGAAAATGATGCAACTTGCTACTTTAAAGTGATGACTAATACATCGTGAACATAAACTTCCTGGAGTCTTCAAGAATTATCCAGTCATGACTTTTCAGTAAGTGAAGTGAGTTTTCTAAGAATTTAACACATTTTCAGGACTTCTAAGATATGTTCCATTGTCAAGTGTTTCAAACACTAACCAGTAGTTGCAAAATCGTTTGTGTTCGATTATGATCAAATGGGATCGAATGCTTGGTCGTTTGGTCATTGCGTAATCAGATCATATCATATTTGCCTGTTGTCTTTTTCAAGCAACATTTAAGATATCACAATTGTCTGGATCAGCAATGTTCAGCTGGTCCGTGGAAGACTCTTTAATGATAATTTTTCTAAGATTAATATTCTCGAAATCTTTGTTATATAATTTCACGTTTCAGATGTGCATTTTATCTTTCCTCAAATACACAACCTAGACGGACGTTGTTGAGCATGTAGACAGGTTGAAATGTACTGCACCCGCTGTCTAAACATGTCCTAAATACTTTCGAGTAGTATACTTTCGCAATGTGAAGGACTGATTTCACATAGAAATTATCAACATAGTATTGTGTCATATTTATACCTATAACACCGGTACTGGGTTGGTTATAACTTGTGTATCATGATTTGATGTTTGAGTCCGATTGATGTTAGTACCACTACCAATATCACAAAGTAAACATACCATTGTTTAAGAAATGCGTCTGACATATAATCATCTTCGTCATCATCGACATTTGACATTTTTTAGAGTGGTTAAGTTGAGCGAGCAATGACAAAATCGTAGTTTTGTGTGAGTTGTCAAATGTTACAACCAACTCGTACGAAAATGTTTACATGGTGAGTTATTTCCCCTTGAAATCTAAGGGAGATAATAATACCAAAACGACAAAATCATCCCACTAACAAACAAGTAAAAGCTATTTCTGTTAGACTGTTGCCATCAGTCGCTAGACTCTTCTAAGGCACTGCATAGCCGCATCGCTATCCCTTTTCTCCCCAACCACACTCCCACCTCATACCCCCTTCTTTTTAAAAAATATTCCTGGATCCGCCTATGAAATATGTAGGCATATACAGTGGATACATCATTTTCAGTGACTTAAATTAGGGACGGTTCTTTTAACATTTCTATGTATATATGACATTAGTTCCTATTACAACGAAATCGGGTAAGTGACTGGCGTAAATCAGGAAGCATGCTTCAGTCTGTTATCTCCCCCAAGCTGTTTTCATGCTAGTTGTTCATGTAGATAATGGGTGGTGGGGTAGCCTAATGGTTGAAACGTTCGCTCGTCACGCTGAAGACCCGGGTTCGATTCCCCTCATGGGTACAATGTGTGAAGCTCATTTCCGGTGTCCTCGCCGAGCTATTGCTGGAATATTGCTAAAAGCGGCGTAAAACCATACTCAGTCGCTCTCTCATGTAGATTATGATGTGCATTATGATGTAATGAGACACAAGGTCTCTTGATTCAATTCAATTCTTTTATTCTCATAAACCACCTTGGTGGTACAAGAGCATATATTGTAAACATATATACAAATACAATTCAAATTCAAGATGGAAGTAAACAACATATTAACATTTTTTTCTGACAAGAGATGATAGACGTAGGATATATTTTGATAGATTTACTATGTCTCGAGATGTTTTTACAGATAATATTTTCGTGAACTTTGTTTCATTGGGAAAAGAGGTTAGATGGGAGGGTAAATATTGTTTCCTCAATGTATCTAATGCTTTAAAATGAAAAATATAGTGGTATTCATCTGCGATGCTTTTAGAAGTGCATAGTTGACACGTTGTCTCGTCCCTTGGAATATTATACCAGAGGCCCGTGAATGTAGTGGCATCTCTCCCCACCAGAACATCACTGGTGGGGAGAGATTATATCCATGCATGAGTCACATTCTATTCAACTCTTAAATTCGTGATTTAATTTTGAATCATTTTGCTGTTAGTGTATATAGAGTTTCATGACCATAAACGACCAAACCGAGTTCATGCATAAATACTATCTCGGTCGCGTTCCTGCATCAATACTATCTCGGATGAGATGTAAAAAGAGCCAGAAGGATAGTTGAGGAAAATGAATTGATATATACTTTCTTTTATTGTCCTGACGGGATCGGGTGTACGGTCAGGATCGCTGACTTGGTTGACACATGTCACCGGTTCCCAATTGCGCAGATCGATGCTCATGCTTTTGATCACTGGATTGTCTGGTCCAGACTCGATTATTCACAGACCGCCGCCATATAGCTGTTGAGTGCGGCGTAAAACAAAACTCACTCACTCTTTTATTGGCTTCATTGTCATCAGTACAAATACATGTGATGGGAACGAGGACGATGTCAATATTACCTCATTGCATAACGGCCACTTGACATTGTGTTAGCCTATGCAGGTAATGATGTCGTGTCGGAGAACAAGGTGAAGGTCACCTAGTTTAATACTATCTCAAGATACGCCCAGGTAAGTGGAAATCTCTCTCTCTCTCTCTCTCTCTCTCTCTCTCTCTCTCTCTCTCTCTCTCTCTCTCTCTCTCTCTCTCTCTCTCTCTCTCTCCTCCCTCCTCCCTCCTCCTCTCCCTCCCTCTCTCTCTCTCTCTCTCTCTCTCTCTCTCTCTCTCTCTCTCTCTCTCTCTCTCTCTCTCTCTCTCTCTCCCTCCTCCCTCCCTCCTCCTCTCTCTCCCTCTCTCTCTCTCTCTCTCCTATTTAACCTTAATACTTGATAATAATATACAAATGACATGTGCAGTGGGATAGCTGACATTGACGGTCACGTTATTATCTGTATTAATTATATAAACAACGTTGTAGAGCGCTTACAATGATTACTACATGTACTATACTCTCAGTATCGTGACACGTGGATAAGGGATAGATTGAGTGACAGTTATCGGATGTTATACATGCTGTACATATTATGGGCAGATGGCTATATCAAATGTCTGAGGTCCACTGTATATATTGTAAAGGGTATTGTATGGGCTAGTATTTCAGTCCGGTTTTATTGAAAGAATCTCAGAATTTGTGAATTCCCAGAATGGAGGAGGAATCTTACAATAGTATAAGATAAACCCCAGGGATTCGATTGTTCAAGTTCTACTTAGTTTGAAACGTATTGTACATAGTGAGTGAGTGAGTTTAGCTATATGCCGCTTTTAGCAATATTCAAGCTATATCACGGCGGGGACACCAGACATCGGTTTCAGACCTTGTACCCATGTGGGGAATCGAACCCGGGCCTTCGGCATGACGAGCGAACGCTTAACCACTAGGCTACCCCAGCGCCCGTATTGTACATAAAAAAGCATCAGATACTAACGTTTCATACGCAAATATTATGTTGGGCTCTTGTCAATAACTCTTCCCAAACTGTTAAAGATTTGACCCATTTAAGTAAGTAAGGCTGTATGGTATTGAAAGCTGAAAATATGTCTTTTTGATGCGTATTTCATCAGAACCCCATTTTTAGTCGCATAAAGCAAGAATTCATCAGAAAATATGGAAGACTGTCACCCTCCGTTAAGACATTTAAGATATATATCTTGCACAGAAAGTGCACAATCATACCATTTGTTATTTGTGAGTAAAAGAGTTTAGTTTTACGCCGCTGTTAGCAATAATCCAGCGATATCACTGCAGGGGACACCAGAAATGGGCTTCACACATTGTACCCATGTGGGGAATCGAACCCGGGTCTTCGGCGTGATGAACGAACTAGGCTACCTAACCCCATGTGCTACGAAGATGATGCACATACCAGTGCAACATCGCATCTTTCTTTTCAGTTTTCATACCATACAAGTTCACTTAGGATGATAGGGCACTTTGGTTTCTTTTTAGAATACTTGGCAATGGCAATACTGTCGAGACGCCTTAAACAATGTCTTGCCAATGCAGTTGTGTGTGCAATGCCTTGTGTGTATTAGACTATTAATCACAGCAAATGGAAGGAGGGCTTGTACTGATGTACCTTGATCGATGGCCAAACACTGGATGGGAGGGTTGGAGGGAGGGAGGGTAGGGGATATCAGAGGGTTGGAGTGCACCTTTGAGATACACCGCCACAACTTCTCGTGAAGATGGTCTCTGCCATAGGGCACATGTCTCAAAGACATGCAGCCAGTTTCGGGAGGAATCTGGCAGTTAACTGAATCTACCCCCACTCTCTTCAACTACGAATGTACCTGTTCAGGCCTGTTCAGGGTAGGCATGGTGACCCGTTCACTGGTTTCCGCCCATATCACCCGGACACAAGCCCTGTACAACAAACAAACATATCTACTTTGTGACCGGTGAGAATGTATTGGTAGTTCTTATTATTGTTGATATTTACTTATCCTATTTACATATTTTCGCGTACGTGCGTGCGTGTGTGTGTATGTGAAGAAGATGGATGATAAATGGTATGACTTTCAAGAGTACTGAAGTCTGTAGTCTACTGACTACTCACCCAAAAGACGAACTATTTTAGCGATTTGATACATATTGTTTTTTTCTGAGGATAGCCACCGGCTTACAACTAATACTCATGTGCACTTAATTGTGTTGCCATGCCATGATGATGGAAACCAGATTAGATTTGAAGAACAACCCTAAAAAGTTTCAACCTTGACGTACGTTCACAGACCTGGAATTCTACGTCATATGTAGGTTTGATAACAGTTATCTGACCCACAGTTGAGGAAGAAAATAAACTACATTTTAAGTTATCGCGAAAATGTCATAGTGACACATACTGTTCTACTTTTCGGCAAGTGGGATAACATTCCAGTGTGAAGTGTGCACTTGTCTGCATAATAATGTCATGGTCAAAACGTTGTTTATTTCAATGCTTGCTGCTCAGATATGTGGATAGGTCGCGCACTGTCTTTCACTTTATGTTTTATAGTAAACTATGTATTCGTATCTGTCATTATTACTGTCTACGAAAATAAGGTATCATTTCGTCTCATGGCTTTGAGATCGACATTAACACCAGTCACACAAGGCGACATCTCTGATAAAATAGTTTTAACCCTTTGTTCAAATTAACATCAGAATGATCATTTGAATTAGGCCACATCCATTTGGTAAAGTTTAATGCAACATGATACAATCAGGTGGCAACTGAATACTTTATTCAACTAATATGCCATCATCTTTTTAAAATATATATTGAAGGTCTTTTGTTTTTAATACAAATGTAATTTCAGATTCAAACTAACGGATAATTTGTGGTTTTTTTTTGCACAAATTGTATGAAGTCGTTGCTCTCTTATTAGTCCAGTATAGAAGGTCTGACATTCTCTTTAGTCTAAGCTTCCATCAAGACGGCATCCAGCTCCACCGTGACCTGTGTTGGATAGTGTTTTGTTTGTTTGTTGTTAAACACCACACTCAGCAATATTCAAGCTGCATGGTGGTGAAGTGGAAACTACATCATTATGTTCCACAATACCCATTTTGTCCCAACTGAGACAAAAAAAACCAGCTCTATGGAAACATGCACCAATATAAACGGATTGGTGAATCACCTACCACGCCTCCAAGCAAAGACAAACATTATGCACAATTGATGTTTCCTTGCTTGGTCACTGAGGTGATGAAATTTCACCATTTGAAAACTTGTAACACTAGTATTGTGCAACAATTTGCCTTCAAGGTACATTCTGTAACCCTGTTTTAATATATCTGCCTTAAGACAACAGGGAGAAATACTTTCTGTCAATTTAGATGTTTCGAACATTGATTTCATACAGTATATTTCACTGAAAATCATTTATTAAATGATCATATGATAGTGTGTATCCTATGTTTTATATACACATTTAGCAGAGAAGAACACGATTTTTGTAACCTATGTTTAAGTAATTAGTATGAGTAGGATCAAATTATCTGATCGAGCAAATAACAGTAGCTTCAAGGGTACTTAATATGGCATCTGTCATTACACTGTTAAAACCAATAGAATCAATGTCGTACAAAGTTACTGTTATATATTCCTTGTCTCAAATCTCTGCCTTAAAGCACTTGTATAAGTACTTTATAACATTATGTGTCACTGTATATGTTGTCCATTGGGCTGATGCCAAACACCAATGTACCGAAATAAAGAACTATGACCTTAAAAAGCATGAAAGACATATGTATAGATCTTTGTATTTACTGCTGGACAGTGAATGTGATCATTCAGGAGTGTCTGGTAATAAATTTCAACCCTTTTGCCAACCGTGTGCTTTAGTATTTGGGTATTTTGCAGTACATCATTCAGATTTAAGTGAAGGAGATTTGTTCGTCAACTGCACTGATTTCATATTTTCCATGATTTATTTTTTTGTCTGTTGCACATGGGATATGGAGCACTTATGTAGCTACCATCAGTTAAACATCTTCTTGCTTATCATTGTAAAATAGTATATACTTTGCAGGTTTGGGCCCTCTCAGCTGACACAAAATGGCCGTTTTGAAATGTGGCAGACGACAGTTTGATCTCAATCTCATAACAGTCGAACCGGTTTTGTTTCTTTACATGATCGGATCCTTTCTGACGTACCCAACTTTCCAGGCATTTGTGTTCGACAAGATCTGCATTGGCAGCTACAACGACACTTTCTGTAGCAATCTGCAGAACAAGACGTTCCAAGATGACCACAAAACGGAAGAGGATTTTGTCCAGTCTCAGACGTCACACTGGATTTTGAAGAAAAATGTTGTGGAACTTGTTATATCTTGTTTCATGGTTGTGTTCATCCTGGGACCATGGGGTGATCGATTTAGTCGGAAACCACCAGTAATAGTTCCATGTTGTGGTGCAATGCTGGCTTCCATTACCTACCTGATCATGTCGATTTTTCCATCAATCAAAAAAGAATACATGTATATTGGGTTTGCGCTTAACGGCCTGTCCGGGGCTTACACAGCTCTATTGATGTCCGTGTACAGCTACGTGACTCACATCGCTGATCCCAGCACTAAAACAATGCGAGTGGGAATCCTTGAGTCCATGTCATTCCTTGCTGGAACGGTTGGGGTCTTCATATCAGGAGTCATGTTGGACAATACAAGCTTCATATTCGTCTTCGCCTTCATAAGTGGAAGCTTCTTCTTGGGAATGCTGTACGCTATCATACGTCTGGAGAACATCACAGCCAACACAATACCCGAGGGTGAAGGTGTCTGTGCTTGCTGGTTTCTGGCATCCATCAAGGAGTCTGCTCGTTGTGTGATGAAGAAGAGGCAGGAGAAGAGAACTCGCTATATCGTCTTACTGCTTGTTGTCTTCATCGTACTTAATCTTGGAACATCGTGTGAGTCCGTGGTTCTAATTATTGAAAACGAACCGAAATATTTCGAATTGAATTTGTTATCGTTTAAAATACACAATCTATTCATTTGACCATTAAACGACATAACATGAACTGATTATTCAGATTTGTGTGTGCTCATTACAATGGATATCGTGAGAAGGAAGTAGGTGTTCATGTAGTATGTCGGGCTATTCTTCAGGTGAAATTGATGTCCTGTTCCTGTACACAAGGCGGGCACCCCTCAGCTGGTCCTCAACAATGTTTGGTTACTATAAGGGTCTGGAGAACTTCACTCGCAGCATAATCCTGGTCACTGTTCTGCCCCTGTGTAGGAAGATGAGGGACACCACTCTGGGACTATGGGGCCTGGCGTCCAAGATCATCGGCCTTGTTATTATTGGTGTCAGTCAGTGGACATGGCTCCTATTTCTAGGTGACTCCAACGGTTTGCAACACGTATCTTTCCTAATTGTGACAATGTTCTGATTTTATTAACGTGATTTTTGTCAGTAAGTATCAACATCAATAATCAGTTTTAGTTAATATGTATTCAGGTTTCACCAAACATCATGAATGTATGTTTCAGTGGCGATATTTGCCATGTTCCAAGGCTTTCCAGCAGCTGTTGTTCGGTCACTCTTGTCCAGCATGGTCAGCCAGGCTGAACAGGGTAAGATCAGATCTGACATATCATTTCTATTGTAGTCAAGGATGCATTTAGATGATAGGATATGTATATAGCGCACATATCCACGCAACTAGTACATGCTCAAGGCGCTTGAGTGTTCCCTTGATCAACGGATGTCCTTTTTCTGGCATTCTTTTAACCAACTCAACTCCCTGGGGAGAATTCAACTCATGCGGTCTGTTAGTCGCAGCGAGGTATCACACAGCCTCATCCTCACAAGGCACCCATCTGCAGCTGGGAGAACTGGGACACATAGTCACAGTATTTTGTCCAATGAAACTGCACGTTACTATACCCGCAACTAGATTTAGCCAGTCATATACTAGGCATGATGTGAATAGTCAGAGAGAAAGGAGTGAGGCTCAGGTTATGCCTTTCCAGATTTGAAGTCTTGGCGACACAAATTATGTAATTCCTCAATTTGACTAGAACTACTGTCTTTTTTAGGTGAGCAATTGACTTACCTTTGCATATGATTATAAACGGTCCATTCCTACTTATTCCAACGTATACAGGCTGTTCTTTAACCCAAAATGGCGAAGCAGAAGCAAGTAATGAAATGTGCCACCTGTCTAACGAATGACCAGATAACTCATCCATCATTGTCCTGAAAAGGAACAATAGCTCAACACTTTCAGATCAGTTCTATAAAGAGAGCAGTGGCGAGGATCAGCGATCGTCCTCTTCCTGTCTGCTGCAGACGTTATGACGACAGCAAGACTTGCTAGACTGGTCAATCAGTCAGATTATATACGGGAATCGAACATCAAGGGGCATGAACTCGGTCAGCGTGTTCGGTCAGATCAGATCAATGGTTCAAGAACTTCAGAGTTCCACTGACCTACCGCTTGTGTTTATTCACAGACCTCAAACCTACATACTTCAAGCTTGCATCGCCGACTAAGGCAGTGACACTCGATATGAACTACACACATCCCTGTTGTCATTTGACGTTTTTGTGACGTCATATGCACGTTATGATTTACCGTCTCTGCGCAGGTTCTGTTGCACTTCCTCTGCCTCTGATATGATTGAATCCTTCTACGTGCGTTCAGCTATATATCACTTTCAGTTTTCTTTGTCTTATCATCATATGTAAGCATTTGGCTATTTATGACTGTCTTCTTGACTGTCACCAGGACGACTGTTTGGAGTGGTAGCTGCTGTGGAGAGCATTGGAAGCTTGTTGGCATCCCTCCTCTTCAATGAACTCTACCCAGTATCCCTTTCTTTCTTCCCGGGATTCAGCTTCCTGCTGGCCGCTGGTATATGTGTCATTGGGGCAGCCATCATGCTGTAAGTGGACTATGTACTTCCTGGTTCAAGACTAATGAACATGATATTGTACCCACATTTATCTATGATGCGTATTTAGCTGTAACAAATAAACATAATTATTTCCACTATGTAATAACAAATCTGCGTTATTTTAGGTGGCTACATTTTGAACTCCCAACCATGGTGTACTGTGATATACAGCAAGAAGAAACGGAAGAAACGTCACCGACAGACAACACAACTATCAATAAAGGTGCACATATATAGTAGATTTACAGACTGATGAAATGATTATGGCACATATAGTCATGGTATATTACAGCGGTTAATAAATCGTGGAGCCAGGCTATCCATTGGTTGAAAACATGAGCAACGACCTACGGTTTCATGGAACGATGTCACAAAATCAGCCGAGTTCCACATGTAACCACCCTCTGTTTTCCTCACCCACACATACTTCAGCGGGCAGTGGAAATTACCATTCTAACAAGTGAAGATCAAATGTGATACAGCAGTTCTTATGTTCTGTTTCAGGGGACCTGCAGACAGACCAAGTTGTGGCCCACATGTAATGGAAGTCTCTTTCATGATGTACCTGAGGTTTTCCTACTGACAAGCTGCATCACAGATGTTCAGATAGTTTAATATATATATACTATTAACTCCTTACCTTTTCCTAACGTCATTGCTTTAAGTGAATACACAATGCCATTTAGAAAGTAGTTAATGGTATTTGGGATTTCATTTTCTGTGTTGGCGATTTGGAGCCTGACTACGAGAATGTGGGTTCGAACTCAGCCCAACAAAATTACTAGATTCTGTACTTTACTGAGAAAGTGTAATCCCAAATATAACATGTGTTACGTTGTCACTGCTGTACCTATATATTACATATATTAAAACATTAATGTTGATTCTAACAAAATCACAGCAATCGCACACAATAGAATGTTTAGGAGCGACCAGAGTGCATTTGAGTAAGCGTAATAGTATGCTGTACGCTCGCTATGGACAGAGAAGTTTTACCTACAGCACAGCTGTAGAGTGGAACAACCTCCCAGTACATGTGAAAGACTCATCTTCTCTTCAGTCATTCCGTAGAACAAATACACTTATTATTATTATTATTATTGTACTTAAAGTGATGTTCATTCATTCATTCATTCGATTCTTTCATTGCCATATATTTCTTAATACTGGATTCAGTAATTATGTATTGTTTGTTATTTGATTTGACAGTGTTGTTGTTCGATGGATGATAATAACACCATGCGTTGTATTTAATACAAAAAGGGTATATCTGCATACATGCAAGGCTACCGGGGATTCCCGTATTTACGCCCGGCCTTCAAAATAGCACCTTCACATTTAAACTATAAGTCCGCAATCACGTCAACAGCAGCCACAGCGGCTCCACAGATGGCACAAACACTGCAGGAAGAGCGGGTGAATATTCCCCAAGCCACAATTCACCAGGCAGTACTGGGCCTTCACATAGGGGCTGTTTGACTGTAGACAAGAAGGGATAGCCTCCCCGTTGCCATTCGATTGTTTGACAGACCTCCCTCAGTGACAATGCCTTGTGCCACATTGGGCAATTTATTATGATCTTTTGATTATTTATATAATAAAAAATACATCTGAAATTCACTTTTGCGTTTCTTCAGAGAGCACAAAGTCATATCCAAAGCACTACTTCAGCTTAAACGCGTGAAGCTCCGGGTTAGAACTGGTTAAGCAAACCATGTTTGTCATAAGATGCGACTAACGGCATGGGCGGGTGGGGTGGGTGGGTGGGTGTTTCAGGGATTTGAACACCCCACTACCCTTTGCCTTTGAAAAAAGACTTAAGGCCACATTGAAGATTTTTTTGCGTTGGCGGAGCCAAGGGGATTCAGGAGGTACGAACCCCCACCCCCACCCCCTTTTTCAAAATTCCTGGATCCGCCCATGAACGGGATCGGGTGGTCAGGCTCGCTGACTTGGTTGACAGATGTCATCGTATCGCAACTGGATAGTCACTGTATTGCCTGGTCCAGGCTCTATTATTGACAGAACGCCGCCATATAGCTGGAATATTGCTGAGTGTGACGTTAAACAACAAACAAATTTACAGAGATGGTGTAAGGGCGCTTCAAACACTACTTCAGCTTATAAAAGGGGGATGATGAAAGGGTGCTTCAAATACAACTTTATGACTCCACGATTATCGACTTTGGTTCCAATCATCTGAACCCCTGGATTAAGGGGTTGACTACAACAAGAAACTCATAGCTGTCTAATATAGGCCAGGGTCTAGATTTTCGAAGCTCTCATAGCGCTAAGATAGTCGTAAGTTAATGTTAGTGTATGGCAGTTACGACTATCTTAGCGCTAAGAGAGCTTCGAAAATCTAGGCCCAGGAAGCTATATTGTGTGAACAATGACAAGAGTTTATATCTTATGGTGCGGTCCCAGTGGCGACCTCGCAAACTACTCGACCGGTCTCGATCTGGGGGTATCTCGACTTCACAAAGACCTCAAAACGACCTCATAACGACCTCGTAAGGACCTTTACGACCTTAGTTCGATTTTAGTTCGACTTCAGTCGACCTACCTCGACTTAGGTCGGCTAAGTTGAGAAGACCTATACTCGACCAGCTAGACCTGTATATCGACCTAATTTCGAATTAATTTCGTCCTAAGTCGACCGGCCCGACCTCACCGCGACCTGTGTTCAACCGGAGCGACTGGTTCTCGACGGAAATTCCATTTTTCTGCCGAGTAGACCCTTGGTTTCCTAATTGTATAAATTACAGGGTGCATTTTCACCAGGTACCCATGCAATTAGAGGACTGCAAAGTAGTAACATCACCATCAGGAACCTTAACGTAAACCTGGTGAGCCCCGAGAAGCGAAGACTGCTTACCCTTTGGGTGCAGATAGCCTGGCACCTGCTTGAACGGGTGGATGACCTGGAGAATGCCAACCCTCCTCCAAAGCCAAAGCCTCAGCCATAAGCACATCAATCCTATCCTTGACGCCTTCAAAGCTGAGTATCGGTCAGATGAGTGGGATCAGAGTAGATGGAATACTGTAGCCCGTGATTTCAAGGAAAAGTGGCAGTTTCCATATTACACCGGTGCGTTTGATGGCAAGCACATACGTATCAAGAAGCCTCCCAAAAGCGGGTTCCTCTTCTACCACTACAAGAACTTCTTCTCTATCGTCTTGCTGGCACTCGCGGATGCCGACTACAAGTTCCCGATGGTCAACGTCGGGGCCAATGGATCAGCATCAGACGCTGATGGTCTTCAACCATTCACGAGATCGTATGGAGGGCGATGACCTTGTATTCCCCGTATGGTGTGCCATCCTTCATCATCGGAGACGATGCCTTTCCACTCCGCCCCTGGATGAAGTCCTTTTCCATGCATCAGATGGACCCCGATCAGCAGATCTTCAACTGCAGGTAATTATTCTTTTCAATAAATACCTAAATCAAATTATAACTTAGTATCTTTGGGTGTATGCAATATTATATCAAAGGTTTTTAATTTTGAATACATTTGACTTAAATATGTTTAATTTGTGACTTGCAGACTGTCTCGGGCCAGACGAGTGGTGGAGAATCCTTCTGGATATGAGGTTCCAGATCCTCCTCGGCTCCCTAAATAGCACTGCAGACAGAGCTGAACAGATAACCCAGGCCTGCGTCACTTTACACAACATGCTGAGAACGAGGAACCGGAACAGTCAGATGAACCTCATAGACCGGGAAATTGGGGACTGTTCACTCACCCCAGGCGAGTGGCGCTCCTGCACACAGCTGCTTGATGGGGATAACCGGGGTGCGAGGAACGTTACCCCACTAGATGGTGCCAACCAAAGAAACTATTTGAAGGACTATTTCGTGGGCCCAGGAGCTGTTCATTGGCAAGAGAAAATGATATCCAAATGACTTTAAAGTGTACTCTATTATTTAGGACTACTTCATTTACAAAGGAACTATTGTTTGTTTTTTATTTACACTATTTACAATTGGTAAATGCGAAAAAAACACACAATGAAAACTAACTATATACATGATGAACAAAACAAACTTTATTACAATCGTACAAGATGTATTTACATTTACACTTAGCAAAAAAAATACAAAAAGAATATCAGATAAAAAAGCTTTTAAATCTTGTATTGGAAACTCATTTAAATAATCTGAAGGTAACATTTCACATCAGTATAAAGTGCTCATGACAATATATGAGTATCAAGTTCTACTTCTCAGTTTCACTGTCCTTGCTGAGAGTCCTGAACATGTGACTGATCCTCTGAGGTGTGTGTAGATTCCAAGACACCGCTTGACAGGTACAGAGATATACCTACTGCAGCACTGGAGTCAAAGTTGGGGGAAGATACCAGCCTGATCCGCTGCTTTGCGGCGTGTTGCAGAGAATGATGTGCTCAGGGTGGACCTCTGGGTGGCAGCAGGTTGGTGTGGAGATGATGTGCTACCACTGGCTTCCGTTTGGCTTTTATGAAGCATCTGGGAAGATGGCGACCATTTATTCGGTCGGCGCGGACTCGATTAGGTCGAGCTGAGGTCGAGATAGGTTGACTTCAGGTCGAGTCGGTCGACTCCAGGTTGAGTCCAAGTCGAGTCCAGTTCGAGTTGGTCGACTCAAGGTCGAGTCGAGGTCGAGTCGAGGCCGAGTACAGATCGACTCTAAGACGAACACAGATCGGCATGTCAGGCCACCTCAAACTTCAACTCGACCAACTCGACCTAATGTCGACTTAAACTCGACCTTTTTTCGACCTACCTCGACCTACCTCGACCTATTCTCGACCTGGTCTCGACCCCATCTCGGACCGAAGGTCGAGGAGGAAGTCGGGGAAAATTTTTGACATGTCAAAAAAAATTCAAAAACTTGGTAGACCTGATTCGATCTCACTCGACCTAACTCGTTCTGAAACTCGACCCCCAACTCGACCTTCAGGTCGAGAAGGTCGAGTAGCGTGAGGTCGGCACTGGGACCGCACCATTAGGGTAAGTTGTTACTGAAGTCTACATACAAACGGACGGGAGAACACAGATGAAACTACATAAGACCCAGGTAAAGAGCGGTAATCGTACGATTAGATATAATCGACTGGTGAGGAGTTTGGTGATTATGTACCGTTTGTTTCTGCCATTAGTACTCAACTACTTTCTGACCAAACTCATACACATGAAAGGACATTCATCACTGTGAACTTCTGAATGCATTATCGGCACTGATGGGCGCTTGAAATAATTAGTCTATATCTACGCGTATTGACTTGGTGCTGATAAAGTACGTACCTTGCACACGTTTCTACATTATATCGTCACAAGACCGCCAACACTTAACCCGGTAGTAATCAGAACTCAATGATGAAGTTTATCGCTTGCGAAATAGATTTTTTTTTTAAAGCTCAATTTGCATTTATTTTATTTTTTGCATTACTGTAAATAGTGTTCGCTATTTTCCCCTCTATAAGTATTTTCTATTTGTATGCCTTTTGGGGGGCGGTGGTTAAAGCGTTCGATCGTCACGCCTAAGACCAAGGTTCTATTCCCCACGTGGATACAATATGTGAAGCCCATTTACGGTGTTCCCCGTCATTGCTGGAATATATTGCTGAAAGCGGCGTAAAGCTATAATCTCACTCACTCATTCCCTTCTCACATGCTCGCTCCTCACTGTTTCCGCTTGTTGCCATTTGGGAAACATTTCAATAACATATAGTTTCTCATCCTATTCCAGAAAGAAAAATACTTATGACTAAAGCTTTGATTAAAAATAAAATATATACTCTCCCAAAAAAGAAACGCATATAGGAATTTCAACTGTATTTTTATGTGTATTTTGAAACATCTTGTAGGCTTTATGAGTCAATGAAATAGAGCGAAATTGCACACTGGGAATGCAGACTTATCCGTCTTTGGCACCAACTCGAGGAAAGTCAGTTTGAGTGTCACATGGAGACGTGTGGTGGCGCTGAAGTCAATACCTCGTGTGACCACCGTGGGCATCCAGAACTGCACGGCATCGCCTCGGCATCGAACAAATAAGTCTCAGAATCTCGTGTTGCCCAATCGCAGCCCACTCTGCCTGTAGTGCCTGTGCGAGTTGCTGAAGTGTCTGTGGATGAGGGTCGCACCCGTCTGTCCAGGGCATCCCGTAGATGTTCGATCGGGTTTAAGTCCGGTGATCTTGAGGGCCAGGGGAGCACATTGATGTTGTGGTTCTGGAGGAAGTCTCTACTGTGACGTGCTGTGTGGGGCCTGGCATTGTCCTGTTGAAACAACTCCCTCTGGCGACCAATGATTGGAAAGACGTGTGGGCGTAGGATTTCGTCACAGTACCGTTGATCTGACAGGTTGCCCTGGATCATCACAAAATCACTTCTCCTACGGCAGGTGATCGCTCCCCACATCATAACACCTCCCCGGCCGATTCTGTCCACCTGGGGAACGTAAGCGTCGGCGAAACGTTCACGTCGACGTCTGTACACCCGCATTCTTCCATCGCGTCGTTCCAATAGAAATCGTGACTCATCACTGAACCAGATTCTACGCCAATTCGGTAGGTTCCATGCCTGAACGTAGGTGCACCATTGAACTCGATGTCGACGATGTTGTTGT